GAATAATTCTTTGGTACTGAACTCCAATCGTTAATTCTACTTACAAACTAGGCAACTTGAGGATGTTTTGATTCCCAGATGAAAGAGCAGAACTTATTGATATTCTTGGAATATTTGTTCTATTTTCTTAGGTTGCTTTAATTCTCATGTAGTATAAGATGGTATTTGAAGACTTGTGTATTTTCTGCATGTAGAGAAAATTGACATAAATCAGTTACATAGTTTTCAATTCACATCATACGTAAACTAATTACTAAAGTTCTGTGGCACACCAAACAATGTACTTTTGGCTGATCTAATAAGAATAAAAGGTATCATTTTGATTCATTCACACTGGATGCCTATTGTGTTGGCTGTTGCCATTTTTTTTTTTTTTTTCATTTGACAACCTAAGGGAGAAGAGGTCAGTGCCCCTGACTAAATAGTTGGATACTGTATAGTTTAAAGATTCTTGCAGCACACTGGTTGAAAATTGCTGTTGTAGGCTGTTGAAAAAGAGTTGCTTTTAGATTAGTAACAGCTACAGGCATGGTTTTCCTAACAATATCAGCTATCAGAAGCACATACATTTTCACACACAGAGGGGACCCTGGTTCTTTCCCAGCTAAGTGCATGTTGCTCTTGGTTTTATATTCCATCCCTCATTCTCTGTGCTTCTAGTTCAACCCCCTGAGCATATCAGGATCAGTGAACTGATAATGAACTTCCTCACATTCCTCACTTTCCCCAACAGTCCTTGTGTTTTTATCAGTCTCCTTTATTTCTGTAGTGAAGTGGAAAGGTGTGCCTGACTTTCCAAGTTTTTCTATCTCTTTTATCAGTTATCTGCCTCCAATCTGGATTTCCTTCCTGGAACATAGCTTTGAAAGAAGAGGTTGTCATAGATTATCCTAACACTACCTTCTCTTCCTCTCAAGTTGCTGTTCTTCATGCCCAATACTAGTAAATGTGGGTTACTTCCTTCACCTTCTCTTATTTCACCACCTACTATTACTTCAGCTCCCTATTTCCTGCTGTCTGCCCTCCATCCCCCATTGTAGAAAAACTTCTCTTTTGAGGTTCACACGTGTGTGTTTTTAAAAAAAAACAAGTCAGGCTACATCCATTGTGACTTCTCCACTGCATTTGATACTATTAATGACTCCCAGTGTTAAATGTCCCCTCCATGACCAACCTCTGTGACCCTGATTTCTCTGGTGCTCTTATTGATTATGGAGAGTACATGTGCATCATTGGATGGTTTGTTTGTCCTCATAATTGTCTCAACCCTCTTTGCCGTCCCCCAATAATTGGGAATTTTTGCACCCCTTCCAGTGACACATTGCTCTTCTCCCTAAGTTGTCACCTCCATGTTCGCCTCCATGTCAAACTACCCACTAAATATTTCTAAAATACTAGAGGCTCAGTGCACAAAATTCATGCACGGGTGTGGTCCCCAGGCCTGGTCAGAGATCGAAGTGTAAGCATCTGGCATAGAAAGGCAGGTCTCAGCTGACCTCTGAGCCCTGGGCAGCACATAGACCCCTGGGCTCCCATGTGCCCTACTTCACTTGAGTTATGGCACCCAAGCCCCCATGCAGCTGGACTCTGGGGCCTGGACACAGTATGGGCCTCTGGACCATCCAGTAGTGCCACACAGAAGCCAGGAGGGCAACATGTTGTCTCCCAGCCAACACTGCCCCCTGGTGGTCAGCAAACAGTTGAACTCCTGGTTGACCACCTGCCTGAGGGGACAATTTGCATATTAGGCTTTTATTATATAGGATTTCTACCTAACCCTTAAATTCTCACCTAAAGGTGAATTTATGAGCTCCCTGCTGTTGTTACCTACTCTTTTTTCTTCCAACAAACTGTCTAGTGAGTCACCTTGAAATCTGGTGACTTGAACACTCACTCAGATGCATGATATTTTCCCAATTACCATCAAATACCTCTTGGTTTTGCTGCTTCTTTTTTAGTCTCACCACTAAGATCTACTTTACACTCTACAAACTTTTTTGCTTTCTCTTTGCCTCTCATTTCTCCTCTTGAGTTTTATCAGCACTTTTCAGGTTGTTTCCTACAAAACTAATTTTTGTTTTTATCTTTTAGTCATGTGTTCTTTTATTAGTCCACTTATTTATTCATCATATTGTATATTCAATGGACATTAAGTGCCAACCAGTGCCTATTAAGAATATAAATGTGGCCCTGATAGGATGACTGGGTAGCTTAGAGCATTGTCCCATTTTGTGGGTTCAATTTCTGGTCCAGGGGTATATCCACATTGTGGGTTCTATCCCTGGTTGGGGCACATAACTAGGTTGTGGGTTCGATTCCCAGACAGGGCATGGATTACAGGCAACTGATCAATGTTTCTCTCTCACATTGATGTTTCTCTCTCTCTCTCTCTCTCTCTCTCTCTCTCTCTTTCTCTCTCTCTCTCTTTGCCTGAATCCTCTCTCTCTAAAAATCAATAAAAACACCATTGTATGGTAATTAAGAAAATACCATAAATGTGAACACAACACACCTGGGTTCTCCATTACAAAATGGGTGGTTTAGCAGGGAAGACAGACACTAACGAATACATAGAAAATAAGTGAATTATACTGTGACAAGTGCTCCAAAGCTTCTCTCCCCTCCCTGTGCCCCTCTGATGAGGGTTCTCACTAGCATGTGGTGAGGAGTGAGGGCCGGAGGCTGTAAATGGCCAGAGCATTGCCATGAGTGAAGCTGAGGCTGCTGAGAGTATTTTAGGTGGTGGGAGGGCCACAGCCAAGGAAGGATGCAGCCGGTATCTGGTAATGTTGAGTAATGTGGCACAGTGTGAGTAGTGGATGGGTGAGAGAGAGAAGTGGAAGTTGGGGAATACGAATGGACAGCAATGGGCGCTGTCTCCTGTGCTACTCAGTTATTCTCACAGGGCAGGTGGTGTTGCGTTGTTCTTCAGAGGAACAATCCGAGGCTCTGAAAGGCTCATTCCCCGGACCGTGGAGCTGGACCTGAGTGCATTCACAGCTCTGACCCAACCTTGGGCTGTAAATGTTCATGCCCCCCCATACTCCTGTGTGTTAGTGAGGAGCACACGGGTCTTCCCAGGACACCACCCGCACCAGCCCTGCTGAGGCTTCTGCTCCCTCTGCAAAGGCTGCCTTTATAACACTGGATCTGCAATGCTTGAGGACAAGGAACTGGCATCCTTGCATTTTCTCAGGGTTCCTAGCACCTTGTCCTGCTGTGAGGAGACACTCTGTAAACAGCTGTGAATATCTTTGCTAACATCTTTCCATCATGCCTCCTACTGAAGTTTGCATCAGAACCATTTGAGGATAGGTGCCTTTGCTGAAAACAGTCCCAGGCCCAGGACTGGGTGTTGGACAGTTTCCACGGTGCCCTCTGTTCCCTTTGAAAGGTTCACACGGGCACATCCACCAGACAAACAAGAAATACATCAGCAGTGCCCTGTGACCACAACAAACATTGGGAATTAACAAGCAGCTCAGTCATTCAGATGTGCAGCCAGGTGTGGGAATCATTACCTCTGTTGCCTTCATCCTGTGGTTAAGTCTGTCTATGGAAATTTTAGGGAGATTTGGATATTCAGGGTGTATTAAGTAACAGCGGCTTCTAGAAGAGACCTGCTCCTAGCCTTCCCCTCCCCTTTATATTAGTAAGGAGGCAAATTTGAACACCTAAAACAATAATTACTTGTGGGTGGGGTAGCAAGATGGAGTAGCAGGGGGTACAAATGTAGATTTCTGATAGGATATAATTTAAAAAAGGAACTAGTGCAAGGAGAAGTGGTGTCTTGAATTCAAGTGTGTGTGAGAGAAAGACAGAATGACAAAGATTGGGAGGAGAGAGAGAAAGAGAGAGAGAGAGAGAGAGAGAGAGAGAGAGAGAGAGAGAGAGAGAGAGAGAGATCAGGCTCTTATTTCAAGAGTGTAGAAGCAAAATGCTGCATTGTTCAGCATGCCCAGGTGCCTCACTGCAAAATGAAACTCCTCTATGTCTCCAGGGTTTTTGCAGCCCCTGCTAATTAGGACCACAATGTGATGTGTGTTTCCTGGGCGGTGTTTTCTCAGGCAAGCTCCTTAGGATTAGATGCTGTTAGGAAGAGAGAGCACCTGACAGGGCAACATGTAGAAATGATAAGAAAAGAAGATGGACAGAAGGATAGAGCTAGGGATTATCCCAGTAAGATGAAAGAGTATAAGATCTGACAGAGAAATTTAGTAGAAAAGCTCAAAACCAGGTTAAGAGAAAACTAACTCATCCCAGACTACCTGACTTTGGCTGAGGAATGTGCCTAGCAGTGTGCGCAGGTTGTTTGCTGTGACTGAGTGGTCTCCCCCGCCGGGAGGGGGAAACAGCATTGAATTCACTGGGTTTGTGGGCAGGGAGGACCGGGTGCTCCAGAAGGGAAGTTAGTGTCAGACGGAGCATGTTTCACTTCTAGCTATTTACCTCCCATGCACTGTGCCCGCGTGCTCTATTGGAAACAGATATACATGTATCTTACACAGTCATGTTGGAAGTAAAGGAAACACTTCTATAAAAGTAGTTAAAGGGTCCTAAGAAAAGGTTTTGTTTTTCCTTCTAAATATACAATATTTAATGATGCTGTATAGAGAAAATCAAATTTAACTAAGAAATAACACTTTCCTTAAGGAAAAAGTTCAACTAGATAGTATGTAAATATGATGTGAAATTAACACCATGCTAAATTATAAACAATGAAAAGTTTTCAATGGTCAAAACTTACTCTGTAGGGGTCGCCCACATCAACTGCTTCTATTAAGACTTCAGGTTAGTTGACACTTTTTTTTTTTTAACTCTAGCAAGTTCCAAACTGGAAAAACCAGGTGTTGCCAGTGGAGGTTGAGGTGAACTGAAAGGTGGGCGGTGTCACCAAGCCAGCCAGCATAGAGATGCTGTGGTTAGTGCACTTCCTGGCCCCGAAGTGCAGCCCTGCGCCTGCAGACCAGGGTTTCTCAATGCACTTTTCTCTTTTTCAGGATGAGTCTTCAAGCCATGAATGTAACCAGCGCACAGTTCTTCTCTATGGTGTGGGCAAAGCACGTGATGAAGCGAGGCATCAGCTGAAGAAGATTACCAGAGATATTTTGAAAATCCTAAATAAGAAGAGCACCACAGAGACCGGGGGTAAAGAGCCCGAAGGCACTTGTCCCATTGTGCTGGCTGTGTCCTTCCCCTTAGCTCTGTCTTTATCAAGTTTGTAGATGGCAGTGTCCCCAGAGTTTCCTCTCCTCAATGACTGTCACATTGAAATATGAATAAGCACATTGAAATTTTAAGGCCTTGGTTCCATTTATAGTAATCCTTGTATTAGAATAGCACGTTTTATGAGTAGATGTAGGTAGTTAGGTAGTTTTTATTTTCTACTTTTTTTTTTTTTTTACTTCCCGAATTTTCTACAATAGTAAAAAATGGAGTATTGAAGAATGAGTTGAAAACCCCTTACTTTGAAAGTGATTTCCCTAATCTTTTTTCTTTCTTTTTTTTTTTTTTTTAAAATATATTTTATTGATTTTGTACAGAGAGAAAGAGAGAGGGATAGAGAGTTAGAAACATCGATGAGAGAGAAACATCGATCAGCTGCCTCTTGCACATCCCCCACTGGGGATGTGCCCACAACCAAGGCACATGACCTTGACCGGAATCCAACCCGGGACCTTTCAGTCCACAGGCCGACGCTCTATCCACTGAATCAAACCGGTTTCAGCGATTCCCCTATCTTCACCAGTCTTTTTCAAGCTTGTAGTTTGCTCTGGGTACTTATATTGCATGCTAACTGAAAATCATGACAGCATTGTGGTTGATCTTTTCTTCCATTAATCAGAAGAATAATTGCGATAGGTAATGGCGGCTACCGATGTTACCAAATGTTTTCAAGTGAAAAAGAAAATTAGGTCTTTGCTCTATAATGCCTTCTTTACTTAGAATACTCTTTCCCCTGGCCTTTTACATAGTTTTTACAGGAAAGCTACATCTTTACATTATGTCACCACATTGCATAATTGAAATTTTGTAATTATCTACTTTACACTTCCCTAATTACTCTTTTCAAGGTTTGTTTATTTTATTAGGCAGTCATACGGTTTAAAATATGTAATATATACTCCACTACCTCCAGCGGTATTTGTTTTTCTACTACTTAAATAACACAAAGGGGAGGGGACTTTCAATTTTCCCTATGCAAACAGCACACTTCCTGCACTTGGTATAAGCCACCTCTAGAAACCCTACTTTGATGTTCAGTACAAAATAAATACTCTTTTATGAACCTCTCCACAGGGATCTTGTAGACTTTAAGCAGATTAATTTCTAGAGCTTGTCCTTGCTACATCTGTCCTACAGGAAAGTGCAGATATAACTAATGCAAATAGCTCTTTCCTCTCCATCAATAGAGGGGCACAGGCAGGAACAAGGTGCAAGACTCTCTTTTCTCTCAAAATGTTGCCACTGTTTGAGTTGCAGGCTAGTCCTCAGAGCACACGCAATGGAAAATTGACCTACATGTGATTTGCATCATGTTCCCTCTCTTCCTCCTGTCTCTGGCTAAGGACCTTGCACTACACCAGCTTGCCAGGGGACAACCAGGAGTCCTAGAAGGGAAATGAAACCTGTTGTTGTTGGTCTGTCCTTATGAAGCTTGCAAAGAACACAGTTGCTAAGAAAAACTGTTGATCTGACCCCTTGCTCTTTCTCCTAGAGAAAGAGGAAATGGGTTGCATTTAGAAGGTTGGATTTAGAAGGTGTGCTAAGCAGGAAGCAGAGACTACTGAAACTCTTCTTTGTGTACTTCAGAATGGGGTGACACCATCTCAGTTCAAAGGTTCAGTAATACCGTTTTTAAAAAGTTTTAAATTAATTTTAGTGTCTTTCCAGGTCCTATGGAATTTTTGGTTTTTGGAAAACTGAGAAGATAGGAAGAAGAAGGAAGCAATGTGGTATCTTTTTCTGTTGAGTCTACTTCCTTCCTTCATAGTTTTTTATGCCAGACTATAGTCTATGCTATCTTTGTATCAGTTTCTTAAATAGGCAAGTCTTGCTCATGAACTCACAGAGACAGTTGTTGTACATGTCGCTTTTCAAGATACCAGTAACTGAAACACCTCTGTGAAAAGGCATCTTCAAATGGGGATTTTTGTCTTTCCCTCATTTTAAAATTCCTTACTCAGAAATGTTTTAATTAGATCTATCTTTTGATAAGCTATATTTAAGTCACTACTTAAAGCCTAGTGTGCTCACCAGAAGCTAGCTAACTATACTTAAGATTAATGGAAATTTGCCCCTTTTTTCAGTGAAGATGAGGATTGATAAATCAGAAAAAGGGCACTTGTGTAAGCATGTATATGACTTTTAGGAACTCCATTAGAAGTGTTAGCACATCAACCAGGCTTTATCTCGGGACATTTATAATTCAAAACTTATATGACATTTCCAGTTTAAGGTGGCCAAACCTCTTGTGCATTTATATGACCAGTCATCTTTGTGTTTCAATGGTGCATCTTTTGAAAATATGAAATAGGTTTATCAAACTAGAAGGCCAAAACTCGTAGGGTTTAAAGATTTTGAAAAAAAGACAACCAAAATTAAACAACTAAAGAATAATAATACCTATTATGAAAGCAAATTAACATAAGACAAATGAGAAAAATCTATGAATTATGACTGTTATGCATGTGAATATTATTAAAATAAAGTATTTCGGTGAAAACTACCACTAATATTTTATATATTTAAATGAATATGAATTGCCAATAATCAATTGCATATTTTTATGTGAGATTTTAAGAAGTTAGCTATAGCTTATTAGCATAAACAAACAAACAAAAAAGATGCATCTGTGAATTTTCATGACGGATCCACTTCCTCATCTGTGTTATTTTTGTTTGTGTTTTTGCTTTAGTCCCAGGAAGGACTAAATAATTATCTTAACTTCAATTTTAAAGCACATTGTACCCAACATGGTTGATATGCACTTTCAACTTTGGATCAGTCGTGTTAGTTAATAAAAAATTCCAAACTTGGATACTTTAAATATGTTTATGACAAATGATCAGCTAAATGGAAAAGAAATAGGCTTAATGAACTTATTGTTTTTGTTTTTTTGTGTGTTATTGGTAAAAGTGGCACAGTCTTTTACCTTATGCTACACATCACTTTTAATTCTGATTTATTCTGATTTCAGGGCTTGTTTGTTTGTTTGTTTGTTTTAGGAAATGAGCACAAAACAGCCTGAGTTTTTTTTGGTAGGCAGAGGGGAGACATTGGTGAGGGCTTAAATTGTAAATGCTTATTGTTGAAAGGGAAGTATCTTGTCTTCTAATGTTATTTTTTAACATCATTATATTTCTCATTAACAAAATATTTTTCTGTTTAGTGAAGTTGTTAGTCTAATAGAGGTGTATAATAACCTTTGTTCTCTGAATTAAACTTTTCCAAATAAAATGTGAGGGATTAGGCAAAAACAACAACAAAAAACAAAACAAAACAAAACAAAAAAACACCACAAAAACCCTCTTAAGCCAAAACCGGTTTGGCTCAGTGGATAGAGCATCTGCCTGCAGACTGAAATATTCCAGGTTCGATTCTGGTCAGGGGCATGTACCTTGGTTGCAGGCACATCCCCAGTAGGGGATGTGCAAGAGGCAGCTGATCGATGATTCTCTCTCATCGATGTTTCTAACTCTCTATCCCTCTCTTTTCCTCTCTGTACAAAAAATATATTTTTCTCTCTGTACAAAAAATATATTTAAAATAATATATATTTTTTTAAAAACTCTTAAACATAACAGTACTGATATAGTGATTTCAGGGGTGGGGGAGGACCAAGGGATGGGAGACAGGTAGGAGAAGGTAGGGGTGAGAGCAGGGCAGAGATGTGAGTGATAGTGCTCTTGTCACCATAGCCTTTAACTAGTTAGCATCATTGTGTTGGAAATGACCTTAGACATTATATAACCCAACCATTTACTTTTGTTTTTAGATTTATATTTGTGCATACATACATTACAAAATATTTAAAAACTGGATCTAATTATTTTTGGATATTAACCTTTAAACTTTTAAGAACAAGAGTCCCTCTGGGATAGCATATTTTAAACCATTTTTACTGTAATTTTTTTCAAATTGCTTTATGCTAAAATAAGTGTTGAATTTTTCCATTAATGTGGAGGAATTTTATCTTTTCTACCCTAAAAGTTAAGAATCATGTGTGTAAATTTTCTTTTTTTACAAATTACTCTTTGAGAAAATATCACAGTAAGTCTCCTAAGAAGATGCCAGTGAAGCTTTCTATTAAGTCAGAATGAGCCTGGGTGATTTCCCCACTTCCTTGTTTATGTCTTCCATTTCAAAAGTCAGTTATTACAAATGTTCTGAGGTGTGCAGTATTAGTTTAAGCTGTGAGGAGTTGGGATCTTGTCCCCTGGGGGGAGAGAAGTGACTTGAAGGGCCCCATCAAGTGTACAGTGTTCTGATATGTGATTTTGTGAATTGAATTTATTTTGTAGAGATTCATAGAGTTTGTGCATTTTTTGTATGTGCATTATATTTAAATCAAAACAGTATCATTGAAAAGTAGTGAGCTTCTGTTGAGTGAAAAATAATGTGTTACTATGTGTTTGCTAGTAGGAGATGAAGGACCAAGAGCCAAGAAGAGCAGGCAGGAGTCATTTCCAACACTGGAGACTGTGTTCACCAAACTTCAGCTCCTTTCATATTACGATCAGCACCAGGTGACATCTCAGGTAGCCATCTAAAGCTGTTGATTACACATTTGGGATAATCATATTTCCTTAAAAGTCTCCTATGTAGTATATGTTTCTGGCCTTAGTTGGTTGTATAAATATGCTTTAAAACATATTTAGAAGCATCTCAAACTATTGAGTAGCTAAGTTTTAAGAGTTAGGTTGTCTTCCTCAGAAGAATTACTTTTTATTTTGATAATATTTTTACCTTAGGGTAATAATCAACACTATGTAAATTATCTCTAATGTAATACTTATGTTTTTACACTATGGTCCTACATTGCTATTAATAAGGGAGAAATCTGTTCATGATACATAAAGTATAGGTGAGAAGGAACCATCCCCATTTTATTTTACAAATCCATTGATATTCAAATAGATATTATCTGGAAATTAATTAATACTTCTAGTTGTCTACCATTAGGACATTTGGGTCTAGATCTTATGATGAGTTGGCTTATTTTTTCAGTGATAGTTGCAGTAAGGAAGTCAATTTGTACATAGTTTGGATTCTGTAGAAATAGGTTTTAAAAGTCTTCTAAATAGAATCACATGTAAATTTAAATTTCTTAATCAGTAAAAATTATTTGGATATTGGTCTTATCATCATTCTGACCTTTTTTGCACAGATCTCTAACAATGTGCTGGAACAGATCACAAGCTTTGCGTCCGGGACTTCCTATCACCTCCCTTTAGCTCACCACATTCAGCTCATCTTTGACCTCATGGAGCCAGCACTGAACATCAATGGACTAATTGACTTCTCAATACAGGTGCCACGGAGACCCTACTTCTCTCATTTTAGGAAAGCAAATGTACCAGGCATTGTACAATTAAAAATGAGGCACCCGGTGCATTTTTTAATAATTGAGATATTCTGAATCAACAGTATATGAATAGCTTTTTAATTGCAGCTATGTTCATAGTTTTCAGTTAAATAATTATAACATTGTGCTAAAATACACCAAGTGGCCAGATTATTATGATCTCTGAAAATATATATATACTAGTGACCCAGTGCATAAAATTTGTGCACATTATAAGGGGATTAATTAGAGGAAATAATTTAATATTGCTATTTGCCCTTTCTCTATAGTAGAAATGTCAGGGATGAAAGAAAATTAGTGAAATGTTATGAAAACCTTCCTCCTATCAGAGTCTGGGGCTCACTACAGGACCCAGAGTCAAGTCCCCGCTCACCCACATGCACCTCAAAATCGAGTGAGGCCCAGACCCAGCCAGTTCCCCCACATTGGACTAGATCCAGACCCGGCCAGTCCCACCCTTGTCAAGCTCTGACAAGCAGGGGGCATAGCCTCAGGTCCCCTGGCCTCACACCAGGATGGGGGACATGGTCTGAGGTTACCCAGCCCAGACCAAGGTGGGTTGCATGTCTTGAGGTCCTGTCAGTGGGGAACGTGGTATGAGGTCCCCTGACAAGCTCTGCCAGGCAGGAGAGGCACAGCCTCAGGTCCCCCATCAAGCCCCTCTGGGCAGGGGCATGGCCTGCGTTGCCCTAAGCTAGCACTGAGGCTGCACTTTGAGGTCCCCTGTCAAGCCCTGATGGGTAGGAGGCACAGCCTCAGGTCCCCTGGCCCGTTGCTGAGGTTGGGGGAGGGGTGTAGCCTGAGGTCCCCTGTCAAGTCCCACTGGGTGGGGGGTATAGTTTGAGGTCCCCCAGACTGATGCTAGGGCAGAGGATGTGGCCTGAAGTCCCCTGTCAAGCCTAACCTGGTGGGGGGCACAGCCTGAAGTCCCCTAGCCTGGTGCTGGGGTGGGAGGAGCAGCCTGAGGTCCCCTAGCCCAGCACCAGGATGGGAAGCATACCTTGAGGTCCCCTAACAAACCCCACTGGGTGGGGGGGGCATGGCCTGAGGTCCTTATCAATGCCCACGGGTTACTACTGATTGTTCATTAAGGTTCCTCAAGTCCCTGCTGATTGCTCCTTAAGGCCCATTATGGGAACTTGGCCTCAGCTGTGTGTGCAACCATCTTTGTGACTGAGTGATGGTCAATTAGTATATTCCCCCTTTATTAGATAGGAGATTATATATATATATATATATATATATATATATATATATATATATATATAATCGTGCATGGGTGGCATCTGGCCAGCCTGGCCAGGGGGAGAAGGGGATATGGGTTGTTGGCTGGCCTGCTTGCTGGTCGAACTTCTGGTTGAAGGGACAATTTGCATATTAGCCTTTTATTATATAGGATATACACTGAGTGGCCAGATTTTTATGAATTCAAAGATCATAATAATCTGGCCACTCAGTGTATATACTAATAATAGTCATTAAAAAATGGAAATGTTTTAAAGGTATTTTTTTTGTCTTTTATTACTTTGCTTTGAGAAAGATGAAAGGTTGTTTGCTGTTTATAATAGAGTATATTTTAGGTTAAGAGCAAAAAAAATAGAACCTTATAATTTGATTTATCCTTATGAATACATATATATATGTATTTGAGTATATTTCTTATCTTATATTGTTAGTAAATAGAAATGAAAGTTGGTTTCTATTGCTTATTCTCTGTTTTATTAAAAAGAAGGGAAAAGGGAGAAAAAAGTGAAAGGTGGGATGTTCTATAAAATTATTCAGTCTAGAGCTTTAGTTTTAGGCTACCATAAAGTGTTCGTAACTATTTTAGTATTGGATACTTTCTAACTGCATTTTCGATGCTGTCTATATAAAAGGAAAACTCCATAGTTTGGTAAAGGATAAAAAATGAAAATCAATGTAATTTACTGGTGTACTTTCTGAGTCAGGTTATGTATTTGTATATGGTCCTGGGGCAGGATTAGGGGTGAGATAAAGTATTATTAAAATGATTCAATACATGCATGGTTTTTAAGAATAAATGCTTTCCTACTTGCTTTGGCAGCTACATTTTTATCCAATCTTCTGTTGTTGTAGTTACTAAATGAACTGAGTGTCGTGGAAGCCGAATTGCTCCTGAAATCCTCCAGCCTGGCAGGCAGCTACACCACGGGCCTCTGTGTCTGCATTGTGGCTATTCTCAGGCGCTATCACAGCTGCCTGATCCTGAATCCCGAGCAAACAGCCCAGGTGTTTGAAGGGTTGGTATATTAAGTATTATTACTGTTTCACATACTATCTTATCTAATAAAAGAGTAATAAGTAAATTGACCGAACCTCTGCTATACCCACAAGCCATACCCTCCAGCCAATTAGGAGCAAGTATGCAAATTAATCCAACCAAGATGACTGCCCAATGGAGCAAACAGGAGGCTTGGGTTCCCATTGCAATGGAGGAAGCCAAGCTTCCTGCACATCCTGGCCAATCAAGGCCTCTGCTCCAGGCTACAAAGTTTAAATTATAGAAGGTAAATAAATTCCAGATACCAGAGCCTCCACTTGGGTGACCAGGGGGTGTGGCCGGCCTGCAAACCACCACAGGCCCAGGCTGCTCCACACCCCAAGGGAACCCCCACCCGGGCTTAAATGGGCAGTCGGACATCCCTCAAGAGGTCCTAGATTGGACAGGGTGCAGGCTGGGCTGAGTCCCCCCCTTCCCCCCCCCCTCCCCGGCAAGAATTTTATGCATCGAACCTCTAGTAATATATAATTGTGATGAAAATATAGTAGTTTTAAGAGAAAAATAATATTGATATTTATTTCAATGGAGATATAACATAGTTAAAGGGTACTGTTGTAAGAAAACATGCAACAAATAAGAGTTATAAACATGAAAAAGTGTTTTCTTTTTTAAAAATGTGTGATTCCTTTCTACATTTCTCTTTACCATCCTGCCTTACTTTTCCCCCTGGTTTCTACAAATACAAGCCCTCATTTATAGCACTCTATTACCTATCATCATGGGTAATTATGAATGGCACACATGTGACAACTTTTTTGTTCGTGTAATTTCAGTTTATATTTGGAGAATCCAACACAAAATAAACTTTGCACGCATTAACATTTTAGAAATTTACTTCTTTAACTTCATTGTTTTAAATAAACTAAACCTATTTTTTTAATATATTTTATTGATTTTTTACAGAATGGAGGAGAGAGGGATAGAGAGTTAGAGACATCGATGAGAGAGAATCGTCGATCAGCTGCCTCTTGCACACCTCCTATTGGGGATAGGTAATGCCCTTGACCGGTAATGCCCTTGACCGCAACCAAGGTAATGCCCTTGACTGGAATCGAATCTGGGACCTTTCACTCCACAGGCTAATGCTCTATCCACTGAGCCAAACTGGTTTTGGCATGAATCTATTTTTTGATAAGATAATCGAAATAGTGAGTTCCTTGATTCTTAGTTTTTTTGGTTTGTGTGAATTGTAGTGTGAGGTTTTCTCTACTATTATACTACTAATGGGTTAATAATGACCTAATACTATCCCCTTTAGAGAGTGAGGTTACAGAGACCTGGGTAGAATAATTAGCTCTCAAAAAGCGCTGTACTGGCTACTTTTTCTCCACCGAAGACTCACTCCTTTTCCAGGCTTTTTATAAAAAAAGACAACTGTTTTTCCTTTTCTTCCATTTTCCTCCTGGGTTTAAAAGAAACATGGGGGTCTTTGGTTCGATAGTACTCTTTGTTGTGGTCTCATACATGTAATCAATTTATACTCTATTCAAAAGTAACATCCATTTAATAGCAGCTCTCTCAGGGAAAGGGAAATGCTATCACATTATTTTTTTTTTAAATAAGTTTTTATTGTTCATATTATTACAAATGTTCCTTCCCCCCCCCCCCACCATTGCTCTCCTCCACCAGGTTCCCACCCCACCCTCTGCCCTTTCCCCACTCCCCATTGTCCTCATCCATAGGTGCACAGTTTATGTTCAGTCTCTTCCCACGCCCCCCTCTCCCCTTTTCCCCAAGAATCGTCAGTTCACTCCCCTTCCATACCTCTGATTCTATTATATTCAACAGTTAATATTGTTCATCAGATTTTTTTTTAATTTCCTTGGTTTTTAGATTCACTTGTTGATAGTTACATATTTGTTGTTCATAATTTTTATCTTTGTTTACTTTCTCTTCTGAAAGAACTCCCTTCAGCAACTCATATAAGTCTGGTTTGGTGTTGATGAACTCCTTTAGCTTTTTTTTATTAGTGAAGCTCTTTATCTGACCTTCGATTCTGAGTGATAGCTTTGCTGGATAGATTATCTTTGGCTGTAGGTTCTTACTATTCATCACCTTGAATATTTCTTGCCATTCCCGTCTGGCCTGCATGGTTTCTGTTGAGAAGTCAGCTGACAATCGTATAGGTGATCCTTTATAGGTAACTACCTTCTTTGCTCTTGCTTCTTTTAATATTCTCTCTTTGTCTTTTGCTCTTGGAATTTTAATTATGATTTGTCTTGGTGTGGTCCTCTTTGAATTCCTTTTGTTTGGAGTTCTGTGCGCTTCCTGGACTTGTAAGTCTAATTCTTTCCCCAGGTGGGGGAAGTTTTCTGTCACTATTTCTTTCAGTATGTTTTCGATATCTTGCTCTCTCTCATCTTCAGGGACCCCCATAATTCTGATGTTGGTTCGCTTGAAGTTGTCCCAGAGGTTTCTTACATTATCTTCAATTTTCTGGATTCTCTTGCATTCTAGCTTCTGTGGAGGAGTGTCTTCTGGCTCTTTATGTTCCAAATCTTTGACTTGATTCTTGCGATCTTCCCTTCTGTTTTTAGGACTCTGTAAAATATTTTTTATTTCAGACAATGTATTCTTTATTTCTTGTTGTTCCCTTATCATTTCTTGATGACTCCTTATTAATTCTAGTTGATTTCTTTTCATGTCCTCATAGGTCTTATCCATCTTTTCTAGGAAATTCTTGAAAAACCTTATAAGCATAGATTTGAACTCTATATCCAGCCGCTTTTTGTCCTCCATTTCTTTCGTTTGTGATCTATTTCGTTGTCGCATTTCACAGTTACAGATGGGGCGGGGTTTCAAGGTGGAGCCTGCAGCTTTGGCTTCCATCAGCCCCGCCCTATGCGGGTCCTTCAGTGCTCGCTGTTGGCGCCTCTGAGAGAAAGGTGCCCTGGATTTTCGCCTGCTGCCAAACAGTCAATGCTCTCCCCCAATGAGCCCGGTATTGGGGTTCAGTTCAGTTGGAAGTGGAGTTGGAGGTGGCGATCAGAGCAGTCTGGCGCCCCTGTCTCCTTCCCGCTAGGCAATCCCACGGCACAGCTGGCCGTCCCTTCTCTGAGCGCACTGGGCGCCACTGCCGGGACCTCCTTTCGCAGCTTCTCTGGGTTCCGCCTCGCAGCCCAGCTCCCTCTGGCTGAGCCTGAGTCCCTGGGGTCTGGCCTAGGCTTGGGTTCAGAGCAGTTGGGGGCCCAGCACAGTCAGAGTTTTATCTCCTTTCCGCTTGGGAAGGCCCGCCAGGCACTCCGCCTCCCTCCTCTCCAGCTCCGTCCTCTCCGCGTGCCGCGTGTCTCCGTACCTTCGGCTTTTCCAGCTCCTCCGCGCTTCCTTCTGGTTTTCTCCTTGCTTCTCGTTGTAGACTTTCCAGTCAGTCAACTTTCCTGTAGTTCTGGGTAATGTCCGTTTTATATTTTAGTTGTATTTTATTGAAATTGTTGTGTGAGGCTGCAGCTAGGTATTCACCTGGGCGCAGCCATCTTGGAGGACCCCTAAAATCGCTATCACATTATTTATGCATGAAGATTATTAAGCGAAATCTGAAATATCCCAGATAGTTTCAAATGTGAAAATATTAACATGTTAGTATTCAGTTAATATAGGGCTACTGTTTCATATGGCCCTTAACTACCCTTTGAAGTTGGAAAATTAATATCACTTTACAAGTGAAGAAACTGAAACTCAGGCTAGTTAAAGGAAGTGCATGATGAAGTGATATACTCAACATCACATAGCTAACTCTCCCAGGCTGCTGAAAGACTTTTGAACTAGGAGCTCACTCATCCTGTTTAATCTATAGCATACTTTTTAAACTGCATGAAACTCATTAGTTGGTCATTAAATGAATATAATATATTTTTGACAAGCACATTTTTTATTTTTAATTATTTTGAAATTAATTTCAGTATTATTTATTTTGACATTTTAAATTTATTTTATAAAATGTTCATAAAATCATATTTAATATTAATTTCATTATATTTTTACTTCATCATACATAGTAAGGGTATTTTACCCGAAATATGTACTTATACAAATGAATATACTGGATCTCAGTATAAAATGTTTTTCTTTCCTGTGGCAAGTGAAAAAAAATTGAGGAAAACATTGACTATTATACTCCAATAAATGTTTATTTACAAAGTAATTCTTTGCTTTGTAGGTTATATTTGGATTTTTGTTGTTGTTGTTGTTTATATAGTTAACTGTTGATTGAATCTGTTTTTCATAATTATGGGACTTTTTTGCTGTAATTGACAGCTTTTATCTGCTGCCCACTGTCCCCATTTGCTGATGTCATTTTATGGTTTTAGAATGCTATATTACCATTTCCTCTTGAACTTTCCTGAGTTCCATATCTGATATTTGTGATTCCTTCGTGGTCTGAGTATTCCAGGCTCCCTCTGGCTTTACCCTGTTCTCTGACTAGGAGAGTGAGCTGTGGCCTGGGAGTATGGAAATCTAAGCTCTCTTGGATCTGCTGTGACCTCAGACTTAGCCTATTTGCAGGTTACTTTACTTTTCTGAGCCTTAGAACCCTCTTTGTAAAATGATAAGTCAGTTCATTTCTAAAGCCCATTTGAGCTTTAATCTGAACCATCCCACTATCATAGGCTGAATTCTATAACAAAATACAACGTAGTGGTGACATCAGACTCACAAAGAGCGGGCTGGACCACATTTTTTATCTCTGTGTTGTATTAACTTTTGTGTTGTATGAACTAGGATGAAAGAGGCCATAGTTAGGATTTGGGTAAATGGCACAGATTTCAGCAGCAATGGTACTTTGAACTGAAGGACTTCAGAGAATGTTACTAAAGGAGATGGAGACATGGTTTTTATATGAGATAAATGAATGCAAATTTGTTTCTATTTTGGAGAAACAAGGGAAATGTGACCTATAACTGAATTCACCAGGTTCATGTGAGCACCAGCTCATGGTTTAAAAATGGATTTCTCGGATTTATTAAGAATTACTCCTTAAGAAAGGAGTAGATTTGGGGATCGTTGAAAATTCACTGAATTAGTGAATCTTTTTGCTGAGGAGAGATTCTCTATTTTAACATTCTTTTATGTTCTAGTCACAGCAACTTAATTGATGAATTCATTCATATTAGGTCTAGTAATAATTAATGTCGTTTTCTAATACCTTTTTTAAATCGAATTTATTTAAACAATACAACAAAATTTAATCAACAATATAGTTGCCGTTGTTTTCTACTACTTGTGCCCAATGCTCAGGAAGCATTTTAATCCCTCTGTTGTAAAATTCTTGTGATTTTGATGCAAAAAAATTGGTCAATGCATTTTTGAAGCATTCTTCATTATTAAATTTTTTTCCAAGAAGAAAGTTTTGCAAAGAACGAAACAAATGGTAATCGGAAGGGGCAATATCAGGAGAATATGCAGGTTGAGGGAGAACTTCCCATTCCAACTGGCGCAGTTTTTCAGCAGTGATTCTTGCAGTATGCGGTCGTGCGTTATCGTGGTGAAGAATTACGCCCTTCCGATTAATCAGCGCGGGTTCTTTTTCTCTTAAAGCTTGGGCTAACCTTTCCAATTAGGCACTATACACTGCATTTGTAATGGTTTGGTTAGATGGTAAAAGTTCATAATGAAGAATTCCTTTAAAATTCCACCAAACACACAACATCACTTTTTTCGCATGCAAGTCAGGTTTTGGCGTGGGCTGCGGAGCCTCATTTTTGTCCAACCATTGAGGCCACCTTTTCAAATTAACATACAGCACCCATTTTTCATCTCCGGTAACAATTTGCTCTAAAAACAGCAAACGGTTTTGACGAGAGAGGAGCGAACTGCAAATTGTGACTCTTTGATTACGGTTGTTGTAGGTCAACTCATGAGGAACCCATTTTCCAAACTTTTGGACTTTGCCAAGTGCACGCAATTGATTGGAAATTGTTTTTTGTGAACAATTTAAAGTTGTCGCAAGTTCTTGTTGGGTAATTTGAGGATTTTGCACCAAAAGAGCTTGAAGAGCTTCTTGATCAAAATTGGACACACGGCCTCGACCACTCTTGTCATCTAACGAAAAATTTCCCTCGCGAAATTTCTCAAACCAACGCTGGCATTTTCTGGCGCTAACTGCATCTTGACCAAGAGCACTACAGATGTTTTTTGTAGCCTCACTTGCTTTTCTTCCTAATTGGAACTCGTAAAGCATGCAGTGCCGAATATGCTCTTCATCCACCATCTTCTTAGCCCTAGTTTTGCAACAAAAACCAAACCAAACACAAAGTTTTTCAAGCAAAACTTGTTAATTGCACTTCACACGTTCTGTAGATACCACATGTTTGAAGGTTATGTCAATACAAGTCAACGCCAAGCAAGATTTTAAACTAATGTTTAAAAACGACATTAATTATTACTAGACCCATATATACTTTCTGTACAGAGGAATTTCTATTTTTCTTGTTGTTAATGACATTTTTAAAGTTTTCTAAAAATATATCTAGTATTTTAATATCATAATAAACTGGCATTTTTCTCAATTATTTACTATTGTTATAATGATTACTATCAACAATCTAATACTTTTTTATACAAGTAATAAATGGATATATTCTCTAAGGAGCATATGTATTAGCAACATGTGAATCTCACTCCTCACATGCTCTCTCCTCAGGCTGTGTAGTGTGGTGAAGCATGTTGTGAATCCCTCAGAGTGCTCCTCTCCTGAGAGATGCATCTTAGCCTACCTCTACGATCTCTACGTGTCATGTAGCCACCTAAGAAGTAAATTTGGAGACCTCTTCAGGTGGGTAGAAGAAAAATCAAAATTATTAGGGTTATATCTGTATTTATTAGTGACTCGGCCAATATTGTCATCATTTTTAATAGTGAAAGTTAGTCCTAATTATATCTGTCAGAATTCATATTGAGTTACCTTTTATTGTATCTATAACCTTATTACAAATGCGTGTTTAACTATGATTGCGATTTTGAGATAAACTTGTGAGACAACATTTTATATTTTGCACTTACTATTACCTCACTGGGAACATTGTTTCCCACTTTTGTGGCACTCACTTTCTCACTTTGTTTGTTTCTCTGCTTCCGTGACCATCTGTTTGAAACAGCATCCTTGGTTCCCTTTCATTCTCTGCATCTTAGCGCTTACTACCCCACAGGTACACAGATGTTGGAAAATACATTTAATGTTATTTGGAGGAAACTCAGATAATTAATTACAGGAGAAAATCATAACAGACAAAATAAATTTAGAATCTAGAAGGAGGTAAGGAAAACATGATCAGTTATGATTTTCTCTGCTCCATATTTTGTACCCATTTGTTTGTAAATCCTGTGAGCCAGCTCTACCTTCCAGGTATAGTCCCTAGAATCTGACTACTCTTCATTGCTATGTCACGACCACCATGGTCATCTCCTGGTTAGATCATTGAATAGTTCTTCTCACTGGTTTCCCCACTTGCCTCCTTGACTCTCTTGAGAATATTATCAACAAATGTACTAAAATCACCCTTTTAAAACAAGAACAATAAAATTTTCCAATGGCTTCTAATTTATTCAGAATAAGAACCTTTGAAGTCATTACCTAGCCTTTAGGACCTAGTGGATCTGATTTTCTCTTCTGCCTTTTCCCCCTTGTTCCATTCTAACTATGTGCACCTCCTTCCTGGTCTTCAGACGCTCTGAGCAACCATTGTGGGACATTTGCACTTGCTATTCCCTCTCTTGTGTTTTCTCTAGTTACTTGGATGCTCATGTCCACATTTCATTCATGGCTTTCCTCCCAACCACCCCATTTTATTTATTTATTTACAAATATATTTTCATTGATTTCGGAGAGGATGGGAGGGGGGAGAGAGAAAGAGAGAGAGAGAGAGAGAGAGATCAATAATGAGAGAGAATCATTGATTGGCTGCCTCCTGCACACCCCCAACTGGGAATCGAGCCTGCAAACAGACATGTGCCCTTGACCGGAATCAAACCTGGGACCCTTCTGTCTGCATGCTGATGCTCTATCCACTGAGCCAAACCAGCTAGGGCCCAACCACCCTGTTTTAAATAGCATCCCCCCTCTGCCTACACTGTCATTCTTTGACCTTAGCACTAACCCCGGCACATTGCATATTTATCATTTCTCTCCTTCCTAGAATGTAAGCTTACCAATAGTAGAAACATTTTCTGTTTTATTTGCTGCTATGCCCCAGTACCTAGAAGACTGTCTGGCACATAGGAAGCACTCAAAAAATACCTGTTGGATAAGAGATATATACAAAAATATCATTAAACTTTTCATGGTATTAATAGGGGAAAATGTGAAAATATGTCTTCATGAAATGAGTTAGGTTTCAAAATATTCCCTTATAGAACAGGGATGCTGTTTGAGTGAATCTTATGAAACACCTTTTCTCAGAAATTAGGTAAGAGTAGTAGTACCCTGTTTCTGCTGCTTTTTCACACAGAGCTGTCAGTTGACAGTTTCTAGAGAGCTTTCTCATACATGATTCGCTCTAAGCAACAGACCTGTTTTTAATAGTGAACTTCCCAAGAAAGTTCCTGGAGCCCTCATGCTCCTGCTGGGTGGTGTAAATGTGTTCATTCCAGTCTTGTAACCTGGGTGCGGGGAGATTAGGAGACCAGCTTGCACTGAGGGCTGCTCAGGTTCAGCACAGGGTGCCCCACAGCTGTGACACTGGCTGAGGTTCCCTTGATTAAGAAGTGGCAGAGAAATGCAGCTGTCCCAGGAAACCTGGAAGTCAGATATTATTTGCAGTTTGGAATTAAGAAATATGGTCCAGCCAAAACCGGTTTGGCTCAGTGGATAGAGCTCTGTCTGCGGACTGAAGGGTCCCAGGTTCGATTCCGGTCAAGGGCATGTACATTGGTTGTGGGCACATCCCCAATAGGGGGTGTGCAGGAGGCAGCTGGTCAGTATTTCTCTCTCATTGACGTTTCTAGCTCTCTATCCCTCTTCCTTCCTCTCTGTGGAAAAACAATAAAATATATTAAAAAAAAAAAAAAAGAAGAAGAAGAAATATGGTCCAACAAAAGCTATATATGCAGAGAGATTTCTGTTAATATATTAATAAACCAGTTTTAATAACTGGATCTGAAACACCATCTATAAAGTTGTGTAAGAGCAATATTTGGGAGACATATTCACATTGATTGAGCTGCTGCTTGTGCCAAGCACGGTGCTGGGCTATTTACATCAAGATCTTTATTCTGCTCAACAACCCCAGGAAGTGGAAATGATATCTCCTATCAACAAGTGATTGTGCCTCATCCTTATTAACAAATGATGAAACTTAGATTTGAACATAAGCAATTTTGGCCTCCAGTGTGTGTTGCTTTCATCACTCTATTGGAGTCTATTGGATTTTTCAGAAGTGAAAATAGTCTACAGGCTATTTCAGAAGGGAAAAACCTAGGTTATTTCCTTAAATCCATATACACCTGCCATGGAAAGAGGTAGGAATCTGAGAGTGAGCGAGGTTGCAGCTGACTTTTTGATAAAACATAGAAGCTCACCAGGAAAGAGGCTAATAGATGAAACAGGAAGCCTAGAAATGAAGGGTGAGGAGACTTTCCCATGAGCCACAAAGTTCAGAAGAAGTGAGCATTCCTGGCTGGAGGTCGACAGAATTTTTTTGTTTCTAAAACAGGAATGAATAGCATGTTGGAATTAAGTGGGAAGTTGAATAAAATAGACAATGCTTCACTATTTGCAGAAGACTGTTTCCTCCAGTCTTCAGTCAATTGGGAGGTGGAGGAAACCAAGGATGTGGTGTTAGGGGGTGAATCAGCAAAGAGCAAAGTTTGATTTTGTTTCATCTTTAGTGGAAAAAAAAAAATGAAACAAATTAGGAACTACTGCTAAGTGAGAATGAAAGAAAAGTTAAGTAGAAAGTTGGCAAGAGTGGTTAAGACAGAACTGGAGATTTTAAAAGCCCTGAAGACTATATAGCATACATCATTTTGAGCAGGTCATAACTTGAGATGGTAAATGTGTATCCTTCAGTGACCACTGAGGAGTTTTTACATAAGTTATCTGGAAAGAAAGATAGTGTAGATTACAATTACTGCCATTTAGTGGGTAGATTTAGACCTCTGTAATGAGCCAGTGCTTCCCAAACACTTTGGCACTTAGATCTACCTGGAACAGCATTTTAAACATACAGATTCAGTGACCTACAGAAGTCCAGGAGTCTTTATGGCTAACAGACTACCCAGAAGTGATTCTGAAGTAGGAGATTTGAAGTTACATTTTGGTAAACAACAAATTGAACAATCTCTGTTTTCTAAAAGCAGTTGGCAGTGGCAACAGCTTTAGGGTAAAGAGTGTTATTTTTATGCCTTTTTATTTTTAAAGAAATCACTCTGGCTACTATTTATGTAGATGTATGACACTAGGGGTAAAAAGCCATATGTTGCCTTCATCACAAAAAAAAGTGCTGCCAAAAAGTTAATCTAAAAGAAAAAGACTCTGCTGCATAAGAGAGCTTCTGAATAGTGGTGGATGCTGCTTATGAACTCATGTCCACAGCAATAGGAAGGAACAGCTGAGTATACATGAAATCAGATTGTCCCTCAGCCACATATGCAGAGCCAGATTGGATCAGATACTTACTAATTTCCTTTGTACTTCTAACATTCTATGTCATATTCAAATATAACTCACTGAAACATACTCTGTTTTCATGATAGGCCAACCTCTTAAAAAATCTCTTAATCCTGCTACAAGACAGAACATGATAAACTTTTAGAAATAATAGTTTATTCACTCTTATTTAACTTATGTGTCATCCATTTCCCCCTACTGGAATGCAAGCTTCTGGAGGGCAGGGGATGAGCCTCTCTCTCAGAGCTGGACCTCCGCTGGATACCCTGTACCTCGAGGAATATTTTTCCAGGATATGTAACTACGACTAAACCCTGAATTATTCCTGATGTGTAGCCTAACTTATTTTTATTCTTAAGTAATAACACTTTGCAACTACTGTTCAGAGATAGTTGTTGTAAGCCTTAGTAAATTCTTTTATTTTTGAAAAGTATAAAATGTAGAAAAAATTTAGAGAGTGATTAAGATTAATAACCTAGTTCTTATTCTTGTTTTGTTCTTCACAACCCATTCAGCAACTATTTATTGACCAACAAAAACATTCCAGGCACTGTGCTTAGTGCTGATTATTAAGAAATTGGAATCAAGAACTCAATGTGATTCTTTTATAAGAATACATTACATTTAATCTGTCCTTAAATTAAGTAACTTTCTATTATTCTAGTTTTTGTGTTTTTTTAACTCTTCTTGTAACCCCAGTAGTGCCTGTTCAAAAGTTAAGCAGACAATATATAATAATGTGATACCTGCTAACTCTAACTTGAGATGGGATCCAGACTTCATGATGGATTTTATAGAGAATCCTTCAGCTTGTAGCATCAACTACTCTGTGCTAGGCAAGATCCTCAGTGACAACGCAGCCAATCGCTACAGCTTCGTTTGCAATACACTCATGAATGTATGTATGGGCCACCAGGATGCTGGAAGGTGAGCTGAGTTACCCTGAAATTATGACTAACTTTAGTTGTTGCTTTGGTGCTACTTTGAAATTAACTTCCTTAGTAATTGCCTAGGCTGACAGTTAAATTTTGTTTTCTTTTTTTTAAATGGATATTTTTTTATCTGCTCTGTACTATGATTTTCTTAACCCAAGAGACAAAAACATATACAAGATAAAAATACAAATACAAATAAAAATTGCCTATATTTTTAAAACACTGTATTTAGGCCTATGTAAATTACAAATTTTCTAAAAATAATTTTTATATTCTTAAAAGTTCATTATATAGGTCAGGTTTTTTCACAGAGTAAAAATATATAATTGACATCTGTAATGGTTATTGTTTGTTGTTTATCAGCATTAAAAACAGAAAACATTTAAAACCATTCACTTTTACCTTCTCCAGGTTCTACTAGGTTATTTGTCAAGTGGGTATTTATTATATCCATGACTATAAGAAATAAATGACTTGTTTATGTAGTGAAATATGTGTTCTTAAGTATATTACATGTAGTATTTCTTTTTTGTTACTTTCTACTATGTATGTTCTTTTTCTTTCTAGGATTAATGACATAGCTAATTTCTCCTCCGAGCTGACAGCATGCTGCACTGTTCTTAGTTCAGAGTGGCTGGGAGTTCTGAAGGCTCTCTGCTGTTCTTCCAATCACGTGTGGGGGTTCAATGATGTACTTTGCACAGTAGATGTAAGTGTTCTTTTTCACTAAAAAACTCAACTGCAATGAAATATTTAGTTAGTGAGTATTTTTTTTTTAATTGACTCAACCCTTAACTGAAATGTAAAATATTTTTTCCTTTTCTCACTTTAAGCAGTACACCAGTGTGGTTGGTGCTGTGTTGCATGAGAATGTTCAGGCTAGGATTCATTGGGGCATCCAGTCTTTCTTAGTGATTGCATCTGGAAGTGATGAAAATGTATCTGTTATATATCACAGATTTCCTAGAATATCATATGCGTGATATGTGAATTTCCTAAAAATTCATCTTGATTCTTTATCTATTTTTGCCTATCATATCTTGGTATGATCTTTTGTATGTTCCTATATCGTACATATAGAAAAATTTTATGCATTTAAAAAAAATACCTCCCAGTTGAAGTTGGAACTGCCTAGTTCTGATATCTCAAGTCTGGATTGGACAGTCCTATTCCATTCTGTGTCTCCCTAAGATTTTAGGCATGTCAAACTCCAACCAAAGGTGTTTTTCTAGACAGGAAAAACCCATATTTTTATCTTTAACACTGCTTCCTACTCTCTTACTTGTTTTTCTTATACTTTATCTCTGGTTAGTTCATGCATCTGTAAAGCTGGAATTAGCAGTATGAACCTCTTAAGATATGTACATATATAATACCTTAATAAAAAATGAAAAAGTAAATAAAATAAAATAAAAAGATTATAAAACAAACAAAAAACAACAGTATGAATCTCATGATGTTGTGCTGTTAAATGAGGTGATTTTTTTAGATTGCTAACCACACTCCCTGGCATATACTAAAACTTAATATGAAGGCTGCTATTATATATGGTTTTTTAAATTATTATTATTTTCTGCCAAAGTCTTGTGAAATCTGTAAAGGTATAGGTTATATTATGAATAAATTAACTTCTCTTCCTCTTTTCTCTCTTTTTAAAATTTAAGTCAATTGTAAATTTTCAGAGTTGTTTTTAAAACTAATTTAATTATAGTAAAGACTCATTACTTTGTTATTCCTGAATAGAACCCCAAGCCAATCCTGAGGCTTGTGTTTTTAACTAGGGCAACCTCCAGGTTTTTCTTTGCTTATTAATGGCTACCCTTAAATGACAGAACCTACTGAATTTTGCAGAAAAGTTGTATTTTTACTACATCTTTTATTGGTTTGTTGATTTTTCTTCTTATTGTTTTCTTTTTCAATCATTTATACTCAACATAAAGCCCAGTGACTTCTTGCAGTGTTGGGATGTGGATAAACCTCATCAGTTGTCTTATAAAGTAGAAATAGGCTTAGAGAGGAATACTCATGCTAAGTTTCATTCACTTATTTGGGGATCGAAAATCTCATTGGTATTGCCTACATTCTCTTAGATATTAATCTTAGCTGCTACTGAAGAGGTGTTAGGTATTAAAACGTGTCAATGTTTTTCTTGAAGGTGAGTGACCTTTCATTCCATGATTCACTAGCTACTTTCATTGCTATCCTGATAGCACGGCAGTGTTTCTCCCTGGAGGACGTTGTGCAGCACGTGGCACTGCCCTCTCTCCTCGCGGCAGGTGAGCGGCGTCGGGTGGCCGTGGGCAGGTGGTGCTGGTCTTGGTGGGATGGTGTCTAACTCACGAACCCCAGAGGATAGTACTCAAGGGCACACACATTGGACCGTGGTGTGGCCTGCAGGTAAAGATGGCGGAATTGTATATCTCGTTCTGCACAGAGCACTGTGACTCCCTGGATGTTGGTACCTGGTTTTGAGGAAGCACGTACATTTGAGTGTCTGAGGCCTTACTTTTTACCATGAGTAGCATGTTTTAAATTATTCCAGAAAGTTTAGCTTAATAGCAAACCTGAAGCCTTTTTCTTGAGCATGTGAGGAAACTTGCTTTGGAAATCCTTCTTCCTCAGCTTGTGGAGACGCAGATGCCGAGCCCGGGGCCAGGATGACCTGCCGCCTCCTGCTCCATCTCTTCCGAGCCCCCCAGGCCTGCTTATTACCTCAGGCAGCTGGTGAGCTGATAGCCCCAAACCTCTGATTACGTTTTCATTTGCAGCTACAGGTTCTCAAATGACCAAGTAGGCTGTTCATCCTGTAATTTCCTTCCTGACTTTGGGGGGCCTGCTTGAGGGTGATGAAGGGGTGTAGTGATGCCACTGAGAGAGCTGTCAACACCTTTCATTTATGTAATATCAGGATGTGTTGAGAAACTCAAATCCAGAGTTAATAAACAATAAAAATACTTTTGCTCTTAGGCCAGCCATGCTGGTGGGCAGCGTGATCCTCTAACATAATATCCATGTTAGTTGTGAATCACAGCATAGCAGCTTAGGGCATGATTCATTTATGTTTTTACTAAGGGAAAAAAATCTAGGGATGCTAGTGAAGTCTGCTCCTAAAGATAATTTCTATGTTAGGTTGTGTGTATGTGTGTATGTGTGTGTGTGTGTGTGTGTGTGTGTGTATGTGTGTGTGTGTGTAGAGAAAAAGAGAGCGCGAGAGGAGAAGAGAGAGGCCATCAGCAATAAATGGATGAAAATCCTAATGTTTTTGACCCATCTCTCTAAGGAGCAAAGACATTATTATTTTAATAGTAAAAAAGAAAAGGTTAAATCCAGAGTGCTGGCAGTGTTTCTTAGTGAATTCATGAAGCATCAATTAAAGTTAGCTAATGGCAATTAAGCGCCCACAGTCTAACAATGAAAAGCCCTATGACTGTAAATGGTTACAAAATACTGTTAATAATGGTGAAAAGATGATGAAAGGCTTGTTCTTGTTCTCATAGGCAAACCTTTCCCTGGAATAAGATCATCTTGTGATAGACACCTTTTAGCCGCTGCTCACAACAGCATCGAAGTGGGAGCAGTGTTTGCTGTTTTAAAAGCAATTATGATGCTTGGTAAGACTGTCTTGGCACTAAGCTTGGTTAATCACCAGAAGTTTCATTCTATTTAATATTAATAGAAATGTTTTTGTTGTTGTTGTTGTTGGCTTTCTCCAGTTCAGTTGTACTCCAGGAAGTCTATATTTTACCTACAACACTGGCAGAATTTAAATATATTTTTTGGTGGAGTTTTAACTGCATGCTATCTCTTGATGTAATAGATCCTCAGACCTCCTGGCTTGTGTTGTCTTCATCTGTTGGTGTAAGTCACACTTTGTGATGGACACAGAAAACTTGATGACCTAGCCAAAGGTTTAAGTCCCATGTTATATGCTAGGAGTAAATTACCTGAAAACCTGGATTTTAATCACAATGTTTCTGCTTGCACTGTGACCCTGAACCATAGTTTTTCATCAACCTGGTGGTAATTTGCATTGAGATTGATACTACTGATAAATCAGTATTAGATATCATAATTTCTTTTTTATATAATTTATAATGACCCAATATTTATTTTATGTTTTTATTGGTATATACTCCTGGAGTAGTAGCATTGCCTTTTCTGTTCATTTATAGTGCAATGCGTTAAGACATTTTTATTCTGTAAATTAGGAGAATGATTGGGAAGTCTTGAATCACACTATCTCTTCCAACTTTGGGTACCCTCTTTTGGCCTTCACTAAACAAACTATTTCTTATGTTCTCAAGGAGCCCCCTTTCATTAGAACAGAAGTTACTGCATTGATTTGATGAGTCTTAAAGACCATGTTTGAGGATAAAGACTATCCCTTTATACTTCTTGGAAAGTATTATTTTGTGATGACAACGAAGGAAAGCAGGGCTTTCATAAAACACATGATTAAAAGTGCATCTAGCCCTAAACAGCTTGGCTCAATGGATAGAGCGTCGGCCTGCAGACAGAGGGTCCCAGGTTTGATTCTGGTCAAGGGCACATGCCTGGGTTGCAGGCTCGATCCCCAGAAGGGGTCATGCAGAAGGCAGCTAATCAATAATTCTCTTTCATCATTGATGTTTCTATCTCTCCTTCTCCCTTCCTCTCTGAAATCAACAAAGAAATATATTATAAAGTACATCTAAAAATATCTACATGTACACACACACATGCATACATATATACATGTGTGCAAATTAATAAATGTGCATCTAAACATATATCTACACACATATAACATACACATATACATATATATACACACACATACATGATGCTCCTATTATGCCAGGAATTTTTAAGTAAAAAGAAAAAGATAAAGTCAATGGATGGCTACAGCCTTCCTTTAAGCTCAGGAGTTTGTATATACAGCCAACATTAAATTATCATCTCAATAATAAAATTTCTGTACTCTGATGATATTTGAAAGGAAAGATGGTTGTTTAGTTCCATTTAATAATTAAGGTAGAGACCATTGTTAACTGTATTTTGTTTATGTTAAAAACATAAATATAACCATGAAATTAGGGATTCACCATTCTTCTGTGGTAGCTAATGTTCATCAGAGAAACTAAGTAGAAGAGTTCCCATAAACTAATTTTGGAAATGTGACTGCATTAAGTGATAGATATTTTAATGGCAGAAACCAAGATGAGTGCAATTTAGACATTGTCCTTTTGGTTTGAAGGACTGGTTTGATCACAAGTAAAATTGGCCAACCTCTTTAAATCTCTAAATAACCATAGTTTACTATCCATATATAATCACCAATTCATTTTTCTTTGACTGCTTCTCCTTGACCTTTTTATTTTATTTAAAGATATGTTTTAATTGATTTCAGAGAGAGGACGGGAGAGGGGGAGAAAGATTGAAACAGCAATGATGTGAAAGAATTGCCAATTGGCTGCCTCCTGCCCTCCCACTACTGTGGTTCGAGTTCAAAACCCAGGCATGCACCCTGATCGGGAATTGAACTGTGACCTCCCAATTCATAGGTCAACACTCAACCACAGATCCACTCTATCTGGGCTCCTTTGAGCATTTTCATTGGCTTCAATTCTTGGAGGACTCTACATCTTTCTAAGCATTGCTTCCCAAGTCAGGATTAGGCCTGTTGAATGTCAGCAGAGCACGAGGCCTGGCTGTCACTGAACACTGTTCTAATGTTCTATTGTCTATATCTGTGATTGGGAAACTGCAGCTCATGAGCCACATGTGGCTCTTTGGCTGCTTGAGAGTAGCTCTTCCACAAAATACCATAGCCTGGGTGAGTCTATTTTAAAGAAGTGGCATTAGAAGAAGTTTAAGTTTAAAAAATTTGGCTCTCAAAAGAAATTTCAATTGTTGTACTGTTGATATTTGGCTCTGTTGACTAATGAGTTTTCCGACCACTGGTGTATATGATTGTAGAAGGTTCTGGTACAACCTCCAGGTCATCCTAATATCTATACTGATTTGAGGATCTCCTAGTCTAGGACTAGCAGATATGTTTGTTTCTTTGTTTTTGCAGAAGTTTTAAGTTATCTATCTCACATGTTCTAACCAATGTTCTCTCAAGTCCTGTCCATCAGGACTGATGTTGAGTTAGAGAAATTGAACTGTTATATAGAATTCGGTTTCTAATGTCTATAGCAGTTTAACTTAAGGTGTAAAAATAGTTGTTTACATCACTGAAAAGCATGCTAAATTTTGATACACATAGAATCTGGTCTTTCAACTCCTAAAGAACTCTGTTGAATTAAATAAACTCTTATGGGAAAAGTGAAATTGGTAATATGTTTCCATGTATTTTAATGATATAGTCAAACATTTCTGATTAAAATACATGGACACATATTACCAATTTCACTTTTCCCATAGGAGTTTATTTAATTCATATATATATACACACACATACACACACACACACACACACACACACACACACACACACTTTCCTTAGCTTCATTTTAGTTGGATATATTAGAGATTGGTGAGAATGAAGTTTTCTTTCTAAGTTGGTGTTTACAGAAAGGAAAGTGAAAGACAGGGATTATTCAATGAATGCCCTATTTTCCAGGGCTTCCTTAGTATGCATTGCCCCTTTCCATTCCCAGGGAAATAAATCTTTCTTGTCAAGAAGTTGATAGTAAGGTGGGCTAAGGCAAAACTTTTCTCTTGACCTATGGATAGAAAATAAGTCATTGTAAGAGAAGAAATGGAAAAGGGACATCTAGCAGGGTGAGTAACCCTTCTTTTCCTTGTCTATAAGTCAAATGAATTTGAATACATTGATGCTTGAAATATTGGTGAAATCAGTGTTCTGTGATTATTAAGTATGATTCAAAATGGCCTTTTCAAGTTTAGTGAAAGCATACATAAATCTATAAACAAAGTAAGAATTGAGTCTTTAACTTGCTTTTTTCCCATGTCTGATGAAACTTCTCTGGGTTCATGCATTTATTCTCTTGATCCATTCTCTTCATTGCTGCACAGCTTTGCAATAATACCATTCACATTCTGTAAACTCCTGAAAGCTTGCCTCATTTACTTCTCAAATAATTGGCAAAATTTTGAATGTGTGTGATTTTGGTTTTTTGATTCTGTTATTTAGGAGATGCCAAAATTGGCAATAATAGTGTCAGCTCTCTAAAGAATGATGACTACACCGTGAGGGGTTTTCGGCGTGATGGGAATGCTGATGATATTTGGACTGCCTCACAAACTGCAAAATCATGTGGAAGAAGCATTTCCATAGAAACGGCCAACTTAAAAGAATATGCTAGATATGTACTGAGAACTATCTGTCAACAGGTATCTTCAGATTTAATTGGCCTTTAACTTTGAATATGTAACTGTTACTTTGGAAAGAGAATCTCACTACTGTATAAAATGTGTACATAGATGGTCCTTATTTTCCTGCTTTGTTTTGACATAATTTCAAAGTGCTGAAAAGGTGCAATAATATTAAAGAACTGTAGTATATCTTTATACAAATCACTAACATTTTACATTTTGCCACATTTGCTTTATAATTCTACTTCTGTGTGTCAGTATGGATGCATATGCTTAATTTTTTTTTTTTCTGAGCCATTTGAAAGTAGTTGGCATACATTATTCTTTTTACTTTTGAATACTTCAGTGTTTGTTAACATAAACAAAATACAGTTAAAAAATAAATAAATAAATAAATAAATAAATAAATAAATAAACTTGGGAACTTTAGCATTAGTCCAATAAATTTTTCTCACCTATTGACCACATTCCAATTTTGTCAGTTGTCCCAACTATGTTAGATTTGTGTGAAGTTTCCTGTAGATTAGTTTCAGATTATGCATTGCTAGCTAGACACTGCCGCAGTAATGGTGGATTCTTCTTGGGTACTCTCATTGGAAGGCCCGTGATGTCCATATGCACCACACTGGTGATGTTAACCTTATCCAGATGTCTCCATTGTATGAATTCAAAATTTCTCTGCTGCACAATTATTAATTTTCCTTGTAATTAATAAACAGTCTTTGGAAAGACACTTTAAAACAATGCAGGTATTCTCATCAAATTCTCTTACCTTGCACATATCATCTATTTTGATTCTTGTCCAAACCAGTCTTTACTGTGATGGGTGCAAGATGGTGATTTTTCTCTAAACTCCTCAGCTCTCTGGTTACCAGTTTGCACTCTTCCCTATGGAAAAGCCTGCCCTTTCTTATATTTACTAATTTTCCATATGGATTATGATTTACTGTCCTTGGTTATGTTCATGTTCAAATTGCTCAGACTTTTCCAGACTCTTTTCATGCTGGACCTCATGTTATTTTGGTATGTCTTTATCTTTATCTTTACTTACTTTCCAAATCCACAAAGTCCTTTGTGTTCCCCATTCCACATTAATATTGCCTTCTTCCACACTAAAAACCCCACTCCCAATAACATTAACCCTTTACTTGTTTGCTTTATTCTATAATATACCCGTGATAGTTTCAGATTTGCTATACCCATACCACTATGAAAAACAAGCCTACTAAAAGGATTTGAAGATTTGTTTATAGTTCTCCCCTAAGAGTTTACTGTATTATGTTAAATCATTTGAACTTTCTCCCTCACTGTGGATATATTTCTCACTTGAAATAGAATTGATTTTTATCTGTTTCTGTTTACATTCAGTGTAAGTCCATCCCGCTCCCCCGTCCAGCTCTGTCTTTAGAATAGCATGCTTCCACAGGCCAACTATGCAAAAGATATATTCAGAGATATGTCCTCTCTCCCTTATCCCTGCTACCCTTTGTCTTGCCCTGCCCTAGGTGATCAGTTTCATTATCTTCTGCTTTAACTTTATATATATATATTTTTTTTTTAATTTCTCCTTTCTTATTAAAAGAATCAAGGCATACTATATATAATCTTTTTTACTTTCCAAATCTTGACAGGGTCATGTTTTTATAAGGCATATTATAACCATGGTAAAAGTTAGCTAAATAGTTATATAGGTACTAGAGGCCTGGTGCATGAATTCATATACCAGTGGGGTCTGGCCAGCTCACCCAGGCCTATCAAGTGGGGTCAGCTGGGGGAGGGGTTGTGAGAGGTTGGCCGGCTGGCCCCACCCCTGATTGGGATGGTGGGTGGCAATCTAGGGTAGGGCCAGCCAGGGGGAGGGGCCATGGGTGGTTGGCCAGCTGGCCCTGCCCCCATGGTTGAATTCCCAGTTGTACTCCTGGTAGAGGGGATAATTTGCATATTAGCCTTTTATTACATAGGATTAAGAAGTTGTTGGGTTGTGCATTGGTTCTGTACTGTGAGGGCAGTTGGAATTACCTGAAAAGTTAAAATTGTTTTTGATGCCTTAAGAAATGACTGTTATCTGGTCCCACAACCTAAGATTGACTTAATTGATTGGCTGTAGGGCCCAGGCTTGGTTAACAAGGTCCTGAGGTGATTTTAATGGATAATCAGCATTTAGTCACTGGTATAATGGTTAAGAAACAGTTTTCATTTTAAACAGATCTGGATGGGGCTCAGGAACAAATGACAAAGTCTTAACTCATTTAAAATAAGAGTTTTCTTTGAAAAACTGATGAAGAAAAGGTGATAGAAGTTTAAATTAGTGGAAACTCTCCACAGGTTAATTAGCCATATGCATCAGTAGCCTTCAATTTTTGTTATACTTCTTAACCCAGCAATTGTACTTTATGAAATTTATCCTCAGAAAACAATTGTACAGAGAAAAGATGTGCACAAACATTTATTTATAATACTAACATTGTAATATCAAACTGGAAGATAATTTTCTGAATGTTGTACTGTGTTCTACTCAGTAGAACATAGCATAATGCATTTCATAAAAAATGGCATCTTATAGACTCATTGCCCTTACATACGGCAAGTAAAAAAAACTGATTGTAAAACAGTTGCAAGAGCCAGAACCCATTTTCCAATTGAAACACATACCATTTTTTTCCTTAGCTTTCTTTTCTTTCCTTTTTTTTTTTTCATACCTGTTTTTTAAATTTTCCTTTATTCAAGATTTCACTTTGTGTTCTAAGAATTTAAAATGGTTAGAAGTTTAAAAAAAAAACAAAAAAAAAAAAAACTTATGCCACCATTTTGTGTATGTAATTATTTTGTTAATTGGAAGATTCCTATCTGCTTTATATTCCATTATGTGCCATGAACTTAGTACATTTTACATAGGCATGTAGAAAGCCCATGCCTACCAATCTAACTGCTGTATGATTTTTAGGAATGGGTAGGAGAACATTGCTTAAAAGAACCTGAAAGGCTGTGCACAGACAAAGAGCTAATATTGGATCCTGTGCTTTCAAATATGCAAGCCCAGAAACTGCTGCAGCTCATCTGTTACCCTCATGGCATTAAAGAATGTACTGAGGGGGACAACCTGCAAAGGCAGCACATTAAGCGCATTCTTCAGGTGAGTGACAATGATTTAAAGATTATGTTTCTCTGATTTGGCACATTCCTTGTAATTAAAAGAAAAATGAATGTAGAATTCTTACGGGCTCTCTAGGCTTGTCTTATGCCTTAGGACACATCTTGTTAACAAATGTGCAAAATAAGTCGAGATAAAGCAAATGCTCAGGCATGGTTTAAAAACCATGGTGGCTGGATGCTGAGAGGCTGTGTGTGGTTCCGGGGAAGGGGCTTGGTGCCTGGGCTACCCTCGCTGCTGGGGGCCCACTGCCTCCATCACAGCTTACAGCACAGCGAGCACAGCACAGTTTTCCCACTCTCCAACTTCATTCTGTTAGAGAAAGCAGGCGAATGTAGGTCTTTCCTAAAAGTGAAGTGCTTGCCAGTCCTGTGTGATTCAGTTGATTGAGCATTGTCTGTGCACTGAAAGTTGGATTCCCAGGCAGGGCACATGCCCAGGTTGCAACCTGATCCCCAATGGAGAGGGGAAGAGTGTGCATGAGGCAGCAAATTGATGTTCTGCTCTCACAAAGTTGTTTTTCTCTCTTCCTTCCTCTCTCTTTAAAAATCAATAAAAATATTTAAAAAAAAAAGTGAAATACTTAACACAGACTTTTTTACTTTTGTTGATTTTAAAGAGGAAGGGAGAGAGATGGAAATATCAATGATGAGAGAGAATCATTGATCAGCTGCCTCCTTCATGCCTCCTACTGGGAATCCAGCCCAAGATCTGGGCATGTGCCCTGACTGGAAATCGAACTGTGACCTCCTGGTTCATAGGTCGATGCTCAACCACTGAGCCACACTGGCTGGGCATTTAACACAAACTTTTGAAAAGCAGGGGTGCCTGTAGATCCCTTCTTGTGTGTAACTATTCTACTCTTTCTTGAAATAGGGAAACTGCCAGTAATTACTATGTTTTAAGATATTTGTAATGTCCTTAATGTCTTAGTTATTTCCATTTTCCTCAGAATCTTGAGCAGTGGACCCTGAGGCAGTCCTGGCTAGAACTTCAGTTAATGATTAAGCAGTGCTTGAAGGACCCAGTGAGTATATCTGAGGGGCATGCATGTGTATAAAATTGTATGAGAAGCAAAGCATGTTGACATTTGAGGATAAAGTACATGTGCTAGTTTTCTTGTGTCTGACCCTAGGGCTCTGGTTCGGCGGCTGAAATGAACAACTTACTGGACAATATTGCTAAGGCAACCATAGAGGTGTTCCAGCAGTCTGCTGACATGAGCATCAGCTCTTCCAACCCCAGCACGGGGCTCTTCAACCCCAGCGGGATCGGAAGCTCTGATGCAGGCAGCACAAGGCAGAATGGAATAAAGACATTTCTAAGGTATTTTTTTCTGTAGCTTTATTACTAGTAGTCTCTTGTTAATTTTTCACATGTAACACTGTGTTTTATTTGCATAATCAGTATTTTTTTTTCATAAAGCTGCAGCAATATGAAGAATGTAATTACTTGTGTCGATTATCATTATTTATTAATAAGTTATAGGGCAATACTACATGCTGCATGATATCTTAGTGTTCTAAATACTAGGTTAATCAGGCCCAAACTCCTTGAAACCACAGGTGACATTCAGGTGCATTAATTTCTTTAATGTTCACTGTTCTGTCTTCTTTAAAATTTAAAAAAGTTAACACTTTTTCTGCCTTTTTTAAAATTTAGCATTTTTGCATAAATGATGATCATGAAAGGCATATTAGCTATATTTCATAATTTTGGTGTAAAGTATAAATTGGTGAATTATAAAACTTTAAAAACAATCTATCAGTGTGTTTAAACATAACCAGAACATTTCATATCTTAACCAGGACAAAAAAGTGTTGGACAAAAGAACTGTTACTAAACAGAGAGCCACAATAATAGAAAAATGTGTTTATAGATTTTTAAACAAACATTTAGTTATAATATCCTCCCAGAACTGTGCCTTTTATTGCCCTCTATAAAAAGTGTGTGCAAATATCTGGTATTTGGCAAGATATTTACTGTGCATTAGCATGGAAATGAAAGGGACGTTTCTGAATAATCAGTGTATCTTATGTATAAAATTTTTACATGGGAATTTCTGTTAAATCTGAGGAAAAGGTGCCTTGTTGGGCATAACACCTGTTTCTGATTTTAGCTCCTCTGAACGCAGGGGTGTGTGGCTGGTGGCCCCGCTCATTGCCAGGCTGCCGACCTCGGTGCAAGGAAGAGTCCTGAAAGCCGCTGGGGAGGAGCTGGAGAAAGGACAGCACTTGGGTTCTTCTTCAAAAAAGGAAAGAGACAGACAAAAACAGAAAAGGTATGGCCGCAAGGTGTGTCTCTCTGTCAGATTTGAAAGAAAGAAATGTAGCATTCTACAAACATACATGTTCACTGCCCTCCAAATCCACTGAGATTTTATTAAATGAAATTGAAAGTATTTTGTTAGGTGAGGGTACTGTTCCTAAGAAGTTCCAGGTCATACTGTTTACACATTCTCAGTTCTGCCTACGCACCCTGGTCCTCGCTGCACTATGAAAATCCTGACTTCTTAGCCCCACTGCATCCTGAATCAGACCTGGATTGCCACCTGGTCCCTGTTTTCTTCTTTTAATCACTTTTATTTTTTTATTTTATTTTATTACTTAGTTCTTTATGTTTAAAATACATAGAAATGGCTGAGACCGGTTTGGCTCAATGGATAGAGCATCGGCTTGGGGACTGAAAGGTCCCGGGTTCGATTCCGGTCAAGGGCATGTACGTTGGTTGCAGGCATATCCCCAGTGGGGGGGGTGCAAGTGGCAGCTGATCAATGACTCTCATCGATGTTTCTAACTCTCTAACTCTCTCCCTTCCTCTCTGTACAAAATCAATAAAATATATTTTAAAAAAATAAAATAAAATCAAAGCATTTCTCTCCAGTTCCCTCAATAAACAATTATTTTTGTAAAAAATAATAATAATAAAAATTAAAAAATAAAATATAATACATAGAATTGTTTCTAGCTCTGTCTTCTTGGACCCTGAAATGGTTATTAATACTTTTAGCATTTAAGGTTCTTGTTCTAGTTTAGATGTTAAAACTTATAGCCGGAACTGGTTTGGCTCAGTGGATAGAGCGTCGGCCTGTGGACTGAAAGGTCCCAGGTTCGATTCCAGTCAAGGGCATGTACAGGGCACATCCCCAGTAGGGGGTGTGCAAGAGGCAGCTGATCGTTGATTCTCTCTCATCGATGTCTCTAACACTCTATCCCTCTCTCTTCATCTCTGTAAAATATCAATAAAATATATTAACAAACAAACAAACAAACAAAAAACTTACAAACCAAGAAGTTTAATGTTTATTTATTTTATGCCCTGAGAAGATTTCAAATAATTCTGTTTGAAAACTGACGGTGTTTCTGAAGAAATCTAAAACCACACTCAAATGTGAAAACATGGTGAACTTAGCACCAAAGGATAAGGGGGAAATAATGATAATTTCCTCTGTTTGATTGTGGGAGGATAGGGGTGGGTGGAAGTGAAAGAGGGTACAAGGGGGATAAATGCTGATAGGGGGGAGGGAATAAAGAAAAAAATTTTTTTGAAATGTATTATTTCCTTCTAATTACTAATAATATTTTGGTACCATTCATTTGTTGAGCTCTTATAAATGCCAACTTCTACGTAAAATTCATTTCATACATACTCAAACTTTTAAAATCTCATAGCAATCATGAACCAGGTGCTGATCTTACCTCTACCATTATACACTTTTTACAGATAGAAAAAAAAAAAAAAAACCTGATGCACTAAAAGGTGAAGTAAATTTCTTGAGAACACAGCTGAGGAGCTAGGAAGCTGGGGTTTACACCAGGCGGTCTGGTTTCTGAGCCTGCATTCTTAACTGAAGAACATTTGGTAGAGACCTAACTTTGCTCATATTTTGTTTGTTATCTGATTGTTTTTTTATGTTTGCTAGCATTAATTGAACAACCAGATGGCTCAATTTACTTCTCAAAGTTTGCTAGCTAATGGGAGATTGTATGTACATTCCCCGGAGAGGTCAAGAAGCTAGTACAAAATTTCAAAATGGCCCTTCCCAAGTCAATCTCTCTCAGTCTGTTGATGTAAAATGAAGCAGATTGAAATATTTTGCCCTCGATCTTATTTGAGGAAATTTCTCTTTCCAGTGTAGCAATTAGTTTATCAGTATGACTAGTTAGTTGTTCTCTAATAATTAAATACATTTTAATAGCATTTTTACCAACTGTCTTTTTAAAAAATATTTTATTACTTTCAGAGAGGAAGGGAGAGGGAGAAAGAGATAGAAACATCAATGATGAGAGAATCATTGATCAGCTCCCTCCTGCATGCCCTCTACTGGGGATTGAGCCCACAACCAAGGCATGTGCCCTGACAGGGAATCAAACTGTGACCTCCTGGTTCATAGGTTGGCACTCTAGCTCTACCCTTGAGTCACACAGGCTGGGACCACATACCTTAAAACTCCGTGGAAGTTGAGGTTGAGGGGGTGGAGGGGCTGTGCTCCTCAGGTCACAAGCAAGCACTCTGTTATCTGGCAAGATATTTACTGTGTGATACCGGGTCCTTAAACCAGGTGCTGTCTCAGCTCTACCAGTAAACACCCCACTGTTTGTTCTCGAGAAATGTGCTGAAAAATAAAACAAGCACAGCAATCAGGGCTGGACCGTAAAATAAGAGTTTTGTGTGAGGGGAAGTGTACATTTAAAATTTTATTCTGTGTATAAGTGATATTCCTTCTGATGTGTGTTATAAAATGCAGCTTACTGATGTAAAATACAAATTCTCTTTTTTCTTCTCCACCCTTACGCACTCATTTGCAGTATGAATTTATGCTAGTTTAGGGAATGCCTTCAGTGTTAAATTATTTAGAAGCATTACTGTGGCTTTTAATATAATCAGTAGAGATATGACTTAGTAAAATAGTGAGTCAAAAACTATTTTTAGTGAGGACAAGAAGTCTGTGTTGCAAGGAAGTGAGGACAAGAAGTCTGTATTGCAAGGAAGTGAGGACAAGAAGTCTGTGTTGCAAGGAAGTGAGGACAAGAAGTCTGTGTTGCAAGGAAGTAATCCATTCTTTCTAACTAGATCTGCTGTTATGATTTGCTTTGTAGTATGTCTCTTTTGAGCCAACAACCATTCCTCTCACTGGTCCTTACCTGCCTTAAGGGACAAGATGAACAACGAGAAGGTCTCCTAATGTCTCTCCAAAATCAAGTTAATCAGGTAAAGTAGAGTATTCAGCCAGGCAAGTATTTTTCTAGTGGCATTAATTTGTTTTCCTTTCAAATGCCGAGATTAAACTAATAAGGATGCACTGTGATTGGATTAGATGCAGGTCGGCATAATCCATGCTCTATTCTCCTACCTGACATTCTAGTCACTACAAGATTAACAATTTTACATTAATGTCCACAGACTATAAAAGTAACATTTGCATATTTCACATAACTTGGACATGCCTGTTCCTCTCCTGCTCCTGCCTCAGGGGAGGAGTCTGGGGGATGTCCCTGTTGTGGTTGGCATGGCAGGAGGACAGAAATGCAGACCTAAGGAGATCTTCCACTTTTAGTCAGGGTCTCATCTTGAGCCCTATAGATGCAGAAACTCAATTTTATTTTACTGCCAGAGCTAGGATGATGCCAGTCAGGTACACAAGATACTCCTTTATAAATCAGAAGTCATTTTGGTTCATTCATAAAGAATACAGACTTTGTCTTTCCGGCAACTACTTGGGCTTACTTCTGCATTTCAACTATTTTAAGATGGTTCTTATTAGTTAACACATATTTCGGAGCATGGCAAAATGAGATTTTTTTGTGTGTGGTGGGGAGGGGTATGCATTTGTTTTTGCTCCTGCCATCTGATCCTGGGGTGTTGCCCACTTGCAGTTTGCCCTTCCTAAGAACACCTTCCCTTCTTTGGCATTATTCTGAGTTGGGGAAGAAGCACTCACTTTATAAATGGATATGCCACTTGACTAATGCCCAAATTGTCACATTTTTCATAATAGTATGTATTATCTTTATCAAAGAAGACAAGTCTATAAAATGACAAAGGGCACTAAAATAATACTAGTACACTTCAAAAGAACACTAAAATAATAATAGTACATTTGTTAGGGTTCACAGCGTGTCCTTACAAATATAACCCAGAGTGATATAAAATGTAATTTTATCTGCCTAGTACTTATCTTTATAAGACCAATGAAATGATGTGTAGTTGACCCTTGAGTTGCATGGGGTTTAAGGGTACCGACCCAAAGACAATAAAAAAATTTATATAACTTTTGCCTTCCCAAAACTCCAGTCATCCTCCTGGAATTCACAATAGATTAGTTCCAGGATCCTCGCTCAGAAATCAAAATCCGAGAATGCTCAAGTCCCTTATGGTGAAGAATGGCACATTATAGTCGGCCCTTTACAATCCACAAATTTCTAACCTCAAAAAAATACTATTTCTTAAATATGAAACCCATATTTATAGAGGGGCTGCCTGCATATTTACTGAAAAATCCATGTGTAAGTGGACCTGCACAGTCAAACCTATGTTGTTCAAGGGTCAACTGTATTTAAAAATTGATCTTTGTTTTTTTTAATGTTTAACATTTAACTTGATGGTCCTCTAAAAATGTTTTCTAAGACTTGTCACTGGGTAAGTAATTAGAAAAGATTTTCTTATCCCACCTGGAAAGGTAATGAAAAAGAAATAGCCAGATTTTTGTCAGCTTAGTGGAAGAAGAGGAAATTCTTATTTAATTTGTTAAACTGAGAAGTTATTTTTGACCATCAGTAAAAGCTCAATTTAACTTAAAATATGAAAAATTTAATTTTAACAGGGAAAACCAGTTCTGGATTTTTTTTTTAATGTATTGTCTGGTTTAGATCTTAAGTAATTGGAGAGAAGAGCGATACCAAGATGACATAAAAGCACGACAGATGATGCACGAAGCATTGCAGCTCCGTCTGAATTTGGTAAGACATTCCCAGGCTTTTGCTGTGTTAAACTTATCTCTAATAGCCTCCCACTTCCTCTGTGGTCACAAGTCTTCATTGCAAGGTGAGGCCCTCTGCTCTTTGCTCTCTGTGCTACTTCCCTGTCCCTCTAACCTTCTGTTTTCCTGGCTGCTGTTCTTCCTGTCTGGCCTGACTTCCAGACAGCAGTAGGTAGGTATTTTAGGCTTTGGGTTGCCTTCTTCAGCCCGGCCCCAGGGAATCATCCTTTAGGGTGTGAGCTCGGAGGAGGACTTAGAGGACCAATATCCTGAGATGAACATTAGTTTTGACTATACTTATTTAAAAACCATATTTAAATGACATTTAAGTCAAAATTATCAAATAGATCATAAAAACAAATTCTACATGGAATTTCAGAAGTGTAAAATTCTCACACATTGAACATTCCTTTGAGTTTTCCTTTCACACTGGACAAGTCAGCTGAAGAGCATTTTGGGGATATTCACCAGTTGATTTCAACTTAATTCCCACACGTGAAAGAGTACACCTGGGGCCATGCCTCCTGCTCATCATTACTTCTGTGTGACTAGATAATTGTGAGTGTTATGACAACAGGCTTAGATTCAATAGTAATGGGCAGCACAATCAGATTATGTGGTTTTGCCCTATTTAGATTTAATTTGACTAAAATCACATCATAAAGAAGGGTATCCTGAATGTTAGGAATAAAAGAAAGCTTGTTATACTGATTTATAGTAGTAGGAGGAGTTATATGTAGATTTTCTACTAAGAGGAAGGTCACTGCCCCTAAGCCTCTGCATGTTCAAGGATTAGCTGTCTAGGGAAAGCTGTAATTCCTATTAATGCTGTGCTCACACTCAGGTGCTCTTTCTCTCCCCCAACCCTCCCCCCCCCCCTTTTTTTTTGAGGATTATCTTTAATTAATCAAACTTTGGCTAAATAAAATGTATTTTTCTCTTTAACACGATGCAGGTTTTTATTGTATTTTTTTACGAACTAGGTGGGAGGAATGTTTGACACGGTGCAGAGGAGCACCCAGTGGACCACAGACTGGGCCCTCCTCCTCCTTCAGATCATTACCTCTGGAACCGTTGACATGCACACTAACAAGTACGTACTTATCATTTCTCCTTTCCTTTGCTGCACGTGTACATGGCAGAAGCTGTGATACACTGATGTTAAATTCTGTCGCATCTTATTTTCTTAGGTACATTCTATGCCTTAAATAAACATTCTCACTTAGTTAAGATTATCTTGGTTTTGCTCTGAGGTAAAAATAATTCTTTTCTGTCCTCTCTTAGTGAATTATTCACAACAGTTCTTGACATGCTGGGTGTCTTAATCAATGGAACATTAGCCTCTGAGCTGTCCAACGCATTGCCAGGGGGATCTGAAGAGAACAGACGCGCATACATGAATTTAGTAAAGAAACTGAAGGCAAGTTGTGACCTGCTTATTATGAACTCATATTGTTTGTGGATTTGTTAGTTAGAACATTTTATCTAATTTTACTTCTCATTACATTAAAGGCTATTTGTTGCACTCAAATTAATTTAATGTGATTATTTTGCTATTTGCTTTATATGAGCTCACTAGAACCCCAAAGTAGTAAGCATATAGCTTGAAGGTTTGCCTTTTAAAAATATTTATATTCATAAAACATGTTTAATTTTTTAAGTAAACTTTAGAAATTCATTACCAAATATCTAATCGGGGTGCTAGCATCAGATTTGAGATACATTTTTTGACTGGCACATGCAATTGAAAAATAATCGCTTATACTGATATATCTAAATCCAATTCATTTTACTAACCACTAACACAGTCTTTGCAATAAACTATAAGTAAACTGCAGAGGAGAAAAAAATCAATATATCTGATGACTTTATAGGAAAATAACCAATGGTTACCTGGTGCTGTGACGCTGCATGCGAGAACGTGTTCCGTGCTGCGGCTCCTGCCTTCTCATCACAGTTGCTGTCCTAGATTTTGTCACTTCAGCATTGTGCTGTTTGTTGAGTAACAGGGTGCCTTTTTATGTATTCTATTTTCTACCTAAAATGAAGAAATGAAACATCCCACTGTAACGGAGAGCTGCAGCATAGGCCATGTTCCAAGTGAAAGAACATTTCAGCTATAATGGAAGTGTTTCATAAGGGAACTTCCTTCTGGGCAACTTTTGCCTTCATTGTTATTTTTGTTCCACTTCTCTTTTTCTCTCTAATTTTTTTAAACTTTTTTTTTTTTTTTTAGAAAGAACTAGGAGAAAAGCGGTCAGAAAGTATTGATAAAGTTCAACAGCTGTTGCCTTTGCCAAAACAGACATGTGATGTTATCACCTGTGAGCCTATGGGTTCTTTGATCGACACAAAGGGAAACAAAATTGCTGGATTCGACTCTATAGATAAAAAACAGGCAAGAGTAAAGTGTTTGTTTCTCGTGTATATAACTACGTCCTAAACTTACAAAAACAAAATACAACTTCTTGTATTCCTGTAAAAAGATAAAAAGCATCATAATTTTACACTGGTTTTTAAAAACATATTTTTATCATTTAATGGTTATTGGCATTATCATAAAAGTTAAATCTTTCAAGATCTTTACTTAGAATTGTACTTGAATTTAAGTGAATTTTTTAAATTCAACAATAGATAACTAAAGAGCTTAAGAGTTAAAAAAAAAAAAAAAAAAGCAAATATCACCTCTGATTTTACTTCAGAATTGGAAATAATACATTTAGATAAGAATCTTTATTGATAAAAGTTGTAAAGTAGTAAACTATTTTGAGAAAAAATGTTTAAAGTGATGGTTCTTTATTTTCATGTCAATTAAACAATATTTAATGAACACTTGATTTCATATAAGATAGTAAGCAGGGTTTTCTTATAGTACAGAAGAGTGGTCCATGATTCTTTCAATGAACATGAACAACCACAGATTCCCAAAGTTACAGAGATGGAAAACAGAACGCCTACCCTCTAGTAGTAGATAGAGTATGATGAGGTTTGTGTGTCATGCTAAACAGTGTTAGGGACCCTGAGAAGGAGCCATTACACTCAGATGACAAGTAAGTAGCTGGAGCAGCATCCTCAGGAAAATCGACGTGAATCATTTTGAAGGATTAAGAGTTAGCTGGGAAGTAGGGGAAAATGTAGTAGAGAAAGGGAAAAATTTATGCAAAGACACAAAAAGGTGGCTCATTGAACTGCAGTGCTGCAGTAACTCCAAGTACTTTAGGTGCTTACCTCACTGCTGCGTTTGTGGAGAGAAAGACTAGAATTATGGGCAAGTTGAGTTTGCAGTGCTGGTTGGCTCTCTAGTGGTGAGATATGTATAAGTCATTTGAAGATGTGGTCTTGGCACCCAGGAGAGAAGTCTAATCTCAAGACATATTAGGAAGCAGTCAGTGTGTAGATGGTACTGAGCCTTGTTTCTTGATAAAGATGCTCATGAAAGACTGTGTAGGTCAGAGGGCATAGTTATGAAATGCCCAAGTAATTGTTTTGGGGTTCATACTGAAAAAAAGTATTTTCAAATTGCTATACCAGGGAAGGTACCAAGGGACATCACCAATTAATGTTAAAAATAAACTTCTTATTTTCAGAAACAAAATAACATTTTCTCCTCTGAACTCCGTAGAGATGAGCTTGAATTGAAGGAGTTTATTTCTACATGTTGGTAAAGTTAATTCTGTAATAAACTGACTTAACTATTGAAGGACTGGCTTATTAAATACATGAAAGGTGCCCATATTGAATCAAGTTCACTCTTGTTTGGAGTAAAGTTCATTTGAGCCCAATTAGAGGCTGAATGTTACTTGTTCTAAAAACAATAAATGGATTCCAAAGGTTTATATCTGATTATATAATTTAGTATAGTAAAATCAACATTTTAGCATTCCTTAGAAATTATTTCTTGCTAACAAAAGAAAACTACATGAAAAAATGCCATTGTACAGTAAACTACGTTGGACTCTCTGGTCTTATAACCTGAATGGAGCTCAGTGTTAGAGAGAACCATAGAACTGTGGATACTAGCCAACTCCACCGGTGATCTAACTGTGTAACCCTGGACTGATTAGTTAGCCTGTCTGCTCTATGCTAAGTTCTCTCCAAGGCTCACACCATCCAAAATGTTCTGTGAATCCATGTCCTAAGTAAGCCTTACCCTAATCAGTAAAAGGGTCTGAGGGTGTGGTCATAAAGTGTTGTTTTGCCACAGGGTCTCCAGGTCTCTATGAAGCAGAAGGTGTCCCCCTGGGATTTGTTTGAGGGTCAGAAGAACCCAGCTCCTCTGTCCTGGGCCTGGTTCGGGACAGTCCGAATGGACCGGAAGGTGATCAAGTATGAGGAGCAGCACCACCTCCTTTTGTACCACACACACCCTATGCCCAAGCCCCGAAGTTACTACCTCGAGCCGCTGCCCCTGCCTCCCGAGGAGGAAGAGGAAGAGCCCACATCCCCCATTTCTCAGGAACCAGAGAGGAAATCAGCCGAGTTCTCAGATCAGGGAAAAACCACAACAGATGAAGAGAAGAAAACAAAGGGAAGGAAGCGCAAGACAAAAGCAAGCTCAAGAGTCGATGTAAGTGCAGGAAGTAGAGGGAACTCTGATACCATTCAGTAGATTTTATATACCTAGAAGCACTGCTAAAAGCAGTAAAAACCTTTTTCTTTTCTTGGTAATAATTATTCTAATGAGGAACTGTCATACTGAATAGAATTAGGATCATAGCTTTTGTTTTTTCTTCTTCTACTTTTTATAACTCTTTAATTTTAGGTTTCCATTGTGAATAATCCTATATAATAAAAGGCTTATATGCAAACTGTCTTTGCATATTAGCCGTTATGAATTTGACTTCCTGGGAGTTCGACCGCTCACTATGACGTGTGCTGACTACTAGTGGGGGCAGCACAGAATGAATGAAGGCTCGGCTGGCAGTCAGAAGGCCCCGATTGGCCCTGATCACCAGCCAGACATAGGGACCCTACCTGTGCATGAATTCCATGCACCAGGCCTCTAGTATTTACTATTTTAGTGCCCCATAATTTCTCATATTTGAAACTTGAATTTTTCAGGCCTATAAAAATCTCATCTCACGTATTTTTACTGTAGCTGTGTTTAACATAGTTATTGTATTTTGGGAAATTGATAGCCATAGTATATTAAAATAAAATGAAACACTCTATTTTCTCTTCCCTAAATAAATCTCCATCTAATATATTGAATAGGGTGTTCATGAGATTTCATATTCACCGTTCTCACTGTATATTCTACTTCTCTGTTATATTTTCAGACTTTATAAAAGATAACATAAATGTGATCTAGCTTCATTTCTTGTTTGCCTACTAGACTTCCCTATCTATAGCAACATTTTCTTTAAAACAACAGAAATCTTTGAGATGGTAATTTTAAATAATTTTATAGAACTTACAGAATTAAAATATGAAATACCTTTCCATTTAACTGAAAAATACTTGAGAAACAATTTGAGATTATTTTCTTATGAAATTCAAAGGAGTTCTTGCTGTGCAGTGGAAAAAAATATTCACAATGTAATGCTTAGACACCATGATTAATTAATATTTTTGTTTACCTAAGTCAAAGCCAAAACAAGTCTTTGTCATTTGGATAGTTTGGTGATTATCATTATCACTTTGGATGTCACTTGAGTGTCAGTATCATCTTTCATACAGTTTTCCTGCCAGTATTCCTTTGTCTTGAAAGGGGTACTTAATAAGGTCCATACTGTCATCCCCTAAAATCTGGGTTTCCCAGCCTGTCCAGCCAAGGGGATGGATTTCTGCTCTTTTTAAATGCAAAAGATCTAAAACTTCATCCGATGGGATGAAGTGCAGGCTTTACTTTTGTGAAACTATTTTCCCTTTGTCCTTTAGGGCTAGCCTAGAACTGTGACCCTTAGGGACTTTTGGCTGCTGTGAGGAAGAGGAAGCCCTGTTGGGAGGTGTGGGTGGGGTGGTGGTGGTGGAAGTGAATGTGTTTGCAGGAGAGTGGTGGAGCCAGCCCTTGCAGAATACTGGCCTGAAAACGAAATAAGATCCTGTCTGAGCCGGGCCTGGTTCTGAACTATTGTGGGCCTCTGGCAGGAATCTGATCCTGACCCCAGGCATCAGCAAAGTCTTTGATTGGGAGACTTTGAAATTACAAAGACGCTCTTTCAGCTGTGGTTGGCAGTCAATAACAATATTTTAAATGTGTTTTTAATATTTTAAAATAAAGTTTAGGAAAGATATTTTTTCTATCTTCCTCCACTGTAGCCAAGTTCTTTTTAAATTAAGAAAAAGTATTAACTAAATGAGTGTTTTGCAAAGAATATATTGAGACTTCTACCTTCTATCTCTCCATTTATAAAATAGCCTTATCTACTGGGAGAGGAGTTATATCAAATAATGTGATAGGGAGAATTTGTACTCATTTCCTGTGTGGTGTGTGGAGTTAAGTAACTTTTTGTTTTAATTTCATGTTGAAGGAGTATCCACAGAGCAACATATACCGAGTGCCTCCTAATTACTCACCCATCTCCTCCCAGATGATGCACCACCCACAGTCTGCCTTGTGGGGCTACAACCTGATGGGACAGCCCCAGCAGCCTGGCTTTTTCCTGCAGAGCCAATCTCTTCCTCCAGGTACGTGAAGAGAGCAGAGTCAGGTCCTCGAGATGACAAGTGGCTTGGAGTTCTCAATTGGGGTTTTTCTTGCTTTTAACCTAAAACCTTCTTAAAACATGAAAGTTTCGAGAGCTGAGTATTCAGCTGACATTTATAGATTCTCTCCATTCAACATGTTACTTCTACAATGAGGTTTCAGTTCTGAGTTTGTGGGATGATTTTGGGGTTTTCATCCAATGCTGGGAGGAAATTAGCCACTGATGAAAATCTTAAACTATCTCTGATAATAAAAGTGTACTATGCTAATTAGACCGGACGTCCTTCCGGATGACTTTCTAATGAAGCTGGGGCTGCGAGGGAAGCCCAGGTTCTGGTGCCGAAGTGAAGCCAATGCTGGCAGCTGAGGGAAGGAAGGCCTACTCTTGCATGAATTTTGTGCATCAGGCCTCCAGTAACATATAAAGTTGATCAAAGTTTTATATTGTGAAATTTGTGTATATTTTTATCAGTTATAGTTACCAGCATTTTAAAAAAAGTAGACAGTATTGCACAGTGTCTTTTATTATTATGTTTTGAATTTTAAATTGTATATACCATGGATTTCAGAAACCTGGTTCAGTAAGTAGATTGAGATACGATCAGCAAGAAACAATGCCATATCCAGAGTGAATATTACTGATTTGGGTATTGCTTTGACTCAAGCTCAGGTAGATTTTATATATGGAGTGAAATTTTTCCAAATACACAATTTCTTAATTAGGAAAGAATTTAATTTTCTTTCTAAGGGAAAGTTTGCCTATTCTAGCAAAATAGATTATTTCTGAAATCTCAGTTTACATTTTATTAGGATGTGCCATTCTAATTCTATCTAATAAAGAGGGAATATGCTAATTGGCCCTCACAAAGATGGCGGCACCCACAGCTAATAAGGAGGGAATATGCTAATTGACTTCCATGCCCTCAAAGATGACAGCACCCATAGCCACAAGATGGCAGCTCCCAGTCCTCTCAGCCCTGCTGACATACCTGCCTCTGGAATCTCCCACTCCCCTCAGCCCCCACAGCTGCCCAGGGCCAGCCCGAGGCACAGGCAAACCTCAGGTGGTGGCTGCCCAGCTGCCCAGGGCTGGCCAAGGCTTTCACTGCTGGCAGTGGCAGCAGCAGAGTTATGATGGGGGCATCACCTTCCCCTGATCACCGGGTTGCCTCCCACTCCTGAGGGCTCCCAGGCTGTGAGAAGTGGCACACCAGGCTGAGGGACCTCTCCAGTGCATGAATTTTCATGCACCAGGCCTCTAGTCATATACAATAAAGAGATAACGTGCAAATTGACCCTCACACCCTCACAAGATGGCCGCCTACAACCAGGCCAGCAGGGGTGTTAGTGAGGAATGACCAAATTATTAAACAGCAGGTTGCATGGGGCGACCAGGCCAGCAGGGAAGGGGGTGGGGTGTGTGTGCAATAAGAGACAACCAGGTGTGAGGTGGGGGGCCAGTTAGGGGTGACCAGGTCAGCAGGGTGGGTGCATTTGGAGGTGACCAGCATAGTAGGAGGGGCAGTAAGGGGCAATTAGACTGGCCACAGGGTCAGTTAGAGGTGACCAGGCAGGCAGGCAGGTGAGTGATTAGGAGTCAGTGGTCTAGGATTATGAGAGGGATATCCCTGGGATCAGGCCCACACCATCAGTCAGACATCCCCCAAGTGAATGTTTTTATTGTAAGTTGAGTATAATATTTTTGAGGTCTAGGGAAGAAGATATCTTATTCTTGGCTTAGAACAGTGGAGAATTCACAGTTTGTCCTGTAAATTAGTAGCATAGAGAGCTGTTCTGGGGCTTACAGTCTCACTCTACCACTGTCTGCTGTGTAATCTTGGCCAAGTCCTAATTACATTGTGCCTGATCATTTTACAGCTTGATCATTTGTAAAATGAATATACTGATATATACCATCATAGGATGGGTGATTGAAAGTAAATGTTTAAAATATAGCACTCAGACTGATGAACCAAAAGATAGATATAGAGACAGTAAAGCAACAAGCAGACTGTCAAATTACAGCGGGGAGGGGAGGGAGATCTGGGGGAGATAAGAGATCAACCGAAGGACTTGTATACATGCATATAAGTGCAACCAATGGACACAAAACTCTAGGGAGGGAGGGTATGTATGCGGGGGGGGGGCAGGGGGAGGAGGCAATGGTAAGATATGTACACAGATAATAATTTAATAAAAATAAATAAAAATAAAATAAAATATAGCACTCAGAAGATAGCCTGACACAGCAGACATGTTCAGTAATTGACCTGAATATATTCTCTCGGCAGGGCCGTTGCACCTGCCAGGCCCCACGCGGGGCCTGCTCTCTCTCAGACAGCTGCATGGCCCAATGCCTCCTTTGGGTTTGGTCAGACCACACTTTCTCAGTGAGCTTGCACTGACCACTCTATACTCTGTCTCCCTCCCACTCTCTGTTTCTCCATGGCCACAGTGCTTGCTTAAGTGCTACTTAGTCACTGACCTGCCTGCCCCAGATCAGCTCTGTGAGGGCAGGGTTTTCTGTTATGTTTACTATAGTGTCCCCAGAACTGACAGCAGCATGTAAGCAGGCTCCCAAAGGTGGTTGTGGAGTAAATGCAGACTACAAAGAACAAGCTAGACTTCTGGCAAACGTGGAAAATAATGCACAATTGCCATCTCCTCTGACTTTCTCTTTAATTCTAAGGTCCTTGTGAACTTTGTAGCATTTTCAACTTTGTCAAGAGCAGAGTCCAGCACAAGGACTGTATGAATAGAAGGCTCAGTATGTCGTAAAGCCAAACACCCTTTCACCTTAGAGTGCTATAGAAGATATTTGTAAGTTGGGGAATTTGGGTATTAGGTAAGTCTTAGGCATGATGATATGATGACATATATGAAAAATATGTGCAGTAAACAAATACTTAGGAGCATTTTATATCTGTGAAATAATAGAATTTCTTAAAAATGTGAATCCTATGAAATCGAGGAACAGTGTGTACAACATGTTTCCATTTAAATATTGTATAGTTTAAAACACAAAACAGTGTCCACGCACACACACACACACACACTTCTACCAATTTCTCTCTTTTTCCCAGTATACACCCAGTATGTTAAATTTATAAGAAAATGTGTATGAATAATAAACATCAAATTCAGAATAGCATTTTTTTAAAAATATATTTTATTGATTTTATACAGAGAGGAAGGGAGAGAGATAGAGAGTTAGAAACGTCGATGAGAGAGTCATCGATCAGCTGCCTCTTGCACACCCCCTACTGGGGATATGCCCGCAACCAACGTACATGCCCTTGACCGGAATTGAACCCGGGACCCTTCAGTCCCCAAGCCGACACTATCCATTGAGCCAAACCGGTCCCGGCCAGAATAGCATTTGATAGAAGGAGAGAAAAGTAACAAGGCTTCAAACATTTATTATATTTATTTTTTTTAGTTGATTCAGAGGTATAACATAGAAAAGTTAGGAAAAATAAAAGAAAGTACACTCTAGTCTAATCTTTAAAAAGTATGTCCCTCATCCATAAAATGAGACAGTTGTATTTTACATATTAGTTTGCATTCTTGCTTCACAAAGTTACCTTACCATATGTTAGTCAAATCAACTATCCATTTTTCCTCCAAATGATCTTCAAATGCTGTTGAATTACTTGGTAAATCATATTGTGATGCTGAGTATATAAAAGAATGTGACTTTTTGATAGAACAACTTTAAAATTTTTGTCTCCATCATATTACTTGCTCTTTGTGAGGTCTTTATATAGACATTTTCTCATTCATGTACATTAAAGAATAAATGTATGTAAACAGTTTGGCAAATGAAGGGTTAGCACCTACTTTGAAGTCAGCAAATGTTGAATCCCCCCCCACCCACCGAACTCTTAAAGACATTTGGCAAATTACATATGCAAAATGTTAAGGATTTTCTTTGGTTTCTTCAGCATCACTATAATCAATATTTCTTGTTTATTTTATTTATAACCTTAAAAAGGATGTGTTTTATCTTTAAAATCAAGGTATTTGAAGTTTCCAAGCATTTCCAGTTTTTTAAAGTATTTTCACGCATCTCTACTGTAAGATACGCATTTTCCTTAAGTACCATGAGCTTCCAATTATCTAAATTACAAAAGGGTTTCTAGGCCTGGCGTAGGACACTTGGCAAGCGTAATACATTTTATGCAAGAAATATTTTCCTGGGCACCTTCCATCATTTAAAACTCATGTGATTCTCAAACCATGCTGACCACGGTTCCGGGCATGTCACTTTAGCAGTTCAGGTGGGCTTTCGTGATGCCGTTCAAATGGTATAATTGCTCCTGCACCACCATCCCTATCCTGTGGAAATTCTGCAGTTCTTGTATAGGGTGGGATGGTGCCTTATGTTCCATTTTGCTTCATAAAGTGAGGCTCAGAGGTGAGGTTTCTGCATTCTAGTAAAATAAGTAGGAATCGTTGCATCAATGTATAGAAAGCCCTTCCTTCTGGTTGCTTTGTAGGTGGCTCCAGACTGGACCCCACAGGCTCCTTTGTCCCCACCAACACCAAGCAAGCCCTGTCAAACATGCTGCAGCGGCGCTCGGGCGCCCTCATGCAGCCGCCCTCGCTGCACGCCATCACGTCGCAGCAGCAGCAGCTGGTCCAGATGAAGCTCCTGCAGCAGCAGCAGCGGCTCCTCCGGCAGGCCCAGGCCCGGCCCTGCCAGCAGGTGTGTCCAGGCCAGCAGAGATCTTCTGCGCCTCTTGGTTTCCTCTGGCTAGGGTGAGCAAGCGCTGTGTGGCATGCGCTTCCTGCATGCATACCCTGTGCGCTGGTGAATGCAGGTATCTTTCTTACACAGGCTTAGAAATACTGTTCTCTTTGATCAGATAAGAACTCAAAATGTCTTAGGTTCCTTTAAGGCAGCGGAAGTGGGAGGTAGGAGGGAATGGGGGACATTGGGGAGTAGGGGGATGTTCGGCCTATGGGCTGTATAAAGCCAGCAAAGTCATTTGGTCTGGCCCTGTAAAGGCATTGGGGGGAGTAATTAAATATTTGCCCAAATATAGCAGGCTAATTTTTAAATTGATACTCTTGTATGGCCCCCAAATGATGTCATAAATATCCAAATGGCCCTTGGCAGCAAAAAGGTTCTCCACTCCAGATTTAAAGAATGCCTTAAAACACAAAAGAGAACTGATGACTTTCTAGCCCTTAGATGCAGCAGACTGTCATCCTGTAAGTGACCCTCTCTGAGCTCTCATTCAGTATTTAATTATCACCACATTCTGTATTTTCAGGTATTTCGCTCTACTTTCATGTATTTTTATTCCATTTACTACTTTGAGGTTGTGCCTCTGAAGCCTGTGTTTCTTAAGTTTTCTCCTACAATGCCCTGAGAAAATTCTGTGTCTTTAAAAAGATATATTTTTATTGATTCCAGAGAGGAAAGGAGAGAGAGAGATAGAAACATCAATAAGGAGAGAGAATCATTGATCAGCTGCCTCTTGGAGCCCCCTACTGGGGATGGAGCCCAAAACCTGGGCATGTGCCTTGACTGGAAATAGTACCATGACCTTCTGGTTCATAGGTTGATGCTCAACAACTGAGCCACACCAGCCAGGCCAGATTCTATTTTTATTTCATACTTAATAAGGACTATAGCAGAGAAAGAATACATTGCAAATAACTGTCAGTATATGCTTATCTTTAAAGTAATTCTTGATTTATATTATTTTTATTTTTATGCCCTATTATCCCATTATCTTTTTTTTTTAAATTGATTTCAGAGAGGAAGGGAGCAGGAGAAAGAGATAGAAACATCAATGATGAGAGAGAATCATTGATTGGCTGCCTCCTGCATGCCCCACACTGGGGATTGAGCCTACAACTTAGGTATATGACCTGACCGGGAATCGAACCGTGACATCCTGGTTCATAGATCGGTGCTCAACCACTGAGCCATGCTGGCTGGGCACATCTTTAACTTTTTAGATGACCATGATTATTAGAATGTAGAAGTAACATAGAATTTAGTATAGACTCATGAAACCACGAATCTATACAAATACATAAATAAAAAGAGAAAAGGAAGATTGTGACTTCTTTTTCTAGTTTCTATATACTTTTTATATTCAATTTTTCTTAAAATTGTGCTATTTTGATTATGGTGATAATGGTAATAATACGAGTTAGAAGCAGCTAACACTGATGGAGCACATCATTTATCAATACACTTCCACTCACTTAGATCTCAAGGCAGTCCTATGAGTTAGGTACTGTCGTGATCGTCAAAGGACATAGCCAATTATCAGATGTATCCTACTTTAAGAAAAATAGCAAAACTTTCAAAGTAAAAAATTCTAATGTTTTAAAAATATTTTTGTATTTTCATAACTTTCTACGGATATCTTCATAGTTATGGTACTTCTGCATTCTTACAAAAGCTTTCTTTTCTTACCTGCATTATAAAGACAGGAAAAAGGAAACTAGTTGAATTGTGTGAGAATACAAACAACAGTCACTACAGGCTTGTCCCATGATTTAAAGTCTCTAGGTGTCAGGCATGATGTGCTTACACTGCTTCATACACAGAAATTAAGATTTGATTACAGTATTAAAAAGCTTTGATTTTGCTTAAGTAAGCAGCATGTTTTGGAACTATTTAGCTGTTGTTGGAGATGATTGTTACATTTCTTACCAAAATAAATTAAAATTTTACTGGAAGTGAGTAAACATCCTACTAAGCTCCCTTTTAAAGTAACTTAAGCCTAAGTAAAATTTGCCTTCCAATAAGATTAGTTTTTCATGTCTACCGTTTTATCACAAGTTATAATTTGCCTTATTAACACATATCAAACAATTGCTTTTAAATTCAGTTTTGAATTTATCTAAGTGGTTCCTAGTATTGCAAAACTAGTAAAAGTTACAGGGCAATTTCTAGGTAAACATACCATTCCTCATGTAAGCTATGGCAAGCAATTTCCCCCAAAGTAATTTTTAAAGGGAATTTAAAAGAATAATGTGAGAGTAATGAAAGATATCCTTGAGTATTTGGAGAAGGTAGGCTTAAGACCCAAAATGTACCCGAAGGACCCCATTACTCCCACACTTTCCTCTAATCACTCAAAACTACCTGACTCAATTCTATTACACTACCCACAGTTACCTGCTTGTATGAATAGGGATTGACTGAGAGTTCATTCTTTTTCTAACTTATTTTATTGTACCAACTCTGTCACACTGTTGGGTTTTTTTTTTAATTTTTTTTTTTTTTTGAGAAATCAGAAATCCTTTCTTCAAGTAGTAAAAATTCAACTTCATAATACTGATTTTATAATACTCCCTTGCCTCCTCCCTTGTATTCTTTTTTAACAGTTGAAACTTGCTGTGAAGGGCTTTTGGAAACATGTACACTTTTTTTTCAATCCCCATTCTTAAAGTGCTGTATAACTGAGCAAAACAGCATTCTTATAAGGAAGAGAATTGCACACATGGTACAGTCATCGGACATAGAGGTCCTTCGTGGCGTAAATGAGATGTATCATTTCGCCTTCCCTCGCTGCGCGCGGTGTGTAAAGCCTCAGTATGCAAAAGTATCAGTAAATCAGATGTATCAGATGTACCTGAGAGTGCCTGCACCTGCCACGGTTTCTCTTTGTAGGTCATGCAGTAGAAAAAATTTTGTGCTAATCCTTAAAAATCTAGAATAAAAACAGAATTATATGAAATATATTGGGTATTGATAAATTGTTTATTATATGATTCTGGGTGCAATTAGTTTTTTTTCTAATAAATAGTGACCTCTATTCTTCCTGAGAGGAAATGATAGGGAAACATTGAAACTAACTTTGGCAGGAACCTTTTCTCAGGTTACATGCCTACTCATAATGTGACTCTCTAGCTACATAAGAACACTTATGTGTTTTTCTTCTAGTTTGGGGTTTATATGAAAATTAAAATTAATATATTTTTCTTTTAACCTAGCAGTTTTCTAATTACAGAAATCCATTTTCTTAAATGTAGCAAATGTATTGGAGAATTTTCATTTATCTATCTCAACTTTTAAGATGACTGGTCTTGTAATTATATAAGATGTTTTTTGTTGTTGTTGTTTTTTAGTGTTACCCAAGATTTTTAGAGAGAGAAGAAGGGGAAGGGGAGAGAGAGTGAGAAACATGGATGTGAGAGAGAAACATGAATGGGTTGCCTCTTACATGCATCCCAACCAGGGATTGAACCTGCAATTTTTTGGGTGCATGGGACAACACCAACTGAGCCATGCTTTTAAAGATTGACTAATGTCTCCAAGCCTTGGATATGACTGTTCTTTAGGCCAGTTGTCTGTGACTCCTTGGTCCCCACTCTCTTCTTATAAGATCAGGTACTGGGTTTTAAAATATTTTGTATCTTTTCATTACTGAGCACAGGGTAGAAATCTATAGATGTTTATTGAGCTAGCCACTGTTTTCCAAAGCCTAAAGCTTCCTGGTAGTCTTACTCCTTAGTCTGATTGTTAGCAGTGACCTGCTACTATTGTTTTGAAAACCTAGGTGGGGCAGGGAAGACATAAATCCTGATTTCTGGATGTGTCTCAGAACTTGTGAAGTCCCCATTAGCCTCCTCCCATTGGAGGAGAGAAGTTATGTCTGTAGGCATCATCTAGTGTAGTCATGGTGCATGATGACGTTCAGAGCACCTTCATAAAGTAATGAATTATGCTGCAGAAATAGAAATCAGCTTCAGCTGGTCGTGGGACTTCCTGTTAGAGACCATCCTGTATTTCCTCAGGAATGTATTGAGACATTTGGAGAGTGTATAGGAAACAGGTGCAAATAGCTTGGATGCTGTTGGGTATTTTTTTTTATTAAATTATTATCTGTTGGGTATTTTTAATCAATTTATTTGACATAATGATTGTTATACAATCAAGTGTACTTTCTTATAGCTTTAGTCATATCAACATGCATAAAGACATTTTGGGAAGAAAACTTGTATTCATTCTTCTTAATTACAGTCTTCATTTGATTACTCATCATTCCTTATCTGTCCCTTATTAAAATGGGACTCAGTGAAGTGATTGTTACTTTTCTGTGCCTCATAGCCTAACCTATACAGTGTAGTTAACAGATGTTTACTTATAGGGTTCTTGTGACATTAATTATTTAATACATTTAACAGCCCTTAAAATAGTGGCTGGTTCATACTAAGTGCTCAAAAAATGTTAACTGCCATAGTTACTATCACTGTTTTATTACTATTACTTCTCAAAAAAGTCCTATTCTGTGAAAATGATCTTTATTTTCTTAAATATATTAAGGATTAAAAGAGAATCAAAGCACATTAAAGGCTTTACTTGTATAATTACATTAATTATTCCTAATTAGATTGGTGCTCAGTGGTCACCAGTAAGAGACCAATAAAAAGGAATGTTTATTAGTTTTCCTAGTAGACTCTTTGGTTTCTGAAACCAGAATGTTTATGTTATAATGTCTAAAATTCTGTGATACAGACTTTAGTTGGGCTGATTACAATTTCAGTATTAAAAATACCACGGTGTTTTATTTTCTACATAGCCTATGAGAACTATCACAAAATACAGAACAGTGGTTATAACAATGCAAAATGCTGCTTACATTGTTTTTTTATATCCAGTGTTTTTCTTCTCACACAAGGAACTTCCTTTTCCACCCAACCAGGTCAGTCTTCTGGGAATGGGCCTTTTCACAT